CTACATTATAAAACAATGTAAAATACTAAAAACAGGAACATGTCTGTACTGGTTTATGCCGTGAACTTAGCAGATGTTTGAAGCTATCTAATCACATTAATATCCACTTTAAAGCTATGAATAAAAAAAAAAACATGTTTTGTGTTAGCAGAATTTAATTCTAACTTTGAAACATTAACAAAACTTACCTCATGTTGCCTTTTTGGACATGCATATATTTGTACAAATTGTGCTTGCCTATAGAGAGGAGATTATTACAGCCTCATATAAAATCAAAGGTGATGATATCGGGACGGTATCGGTATCGGCCGATATCCAGATTTGGGGATCGAGATCGAATCAGAAGTAAAAAAAAATAAAAAGTGGATCGGTGCATCCCTTATCAGTGCAACACCAAACACAGGAATGGTTTAAAAAAGTTTATTGTAAATAAACAGTGTCTGGTGGAGGTCTGGGTCCTGGCACGGGTCTGATCTGGCAAGACAGAAGAGTTAGTGAACTTGGCTTGGATGAGGAAGTGCAGAGGAATCCTGAGGTTTTCACTAACCTTCTATTTTGATTGCATGGTAGGTGCTTTAGTCGCACTAAAGCCGGTGACGTCACTCATGCAGTGAGCTGCTACAGTGGAGCTGAACGAGGTTGTTGAGGTCCAGTAAGGGGAAATCCAGATCCGTAGTTCGATAATCGAAGCAGGGGTCAAGCATGGGGAAGTAGAGAGCAGAAACCAGAGCCAAATTGTAATCTGTAGTCTTGGTCGTGGAGGGAGCGCAGAGCCATTTACCGTGCATGGTCAGATGAGTAGTCAAATCCAAGAGGGGCAGGTGAGGCATCAAAAAACAAGAGATGGTTTGTGGCAAGGCAAGAGACAAGAGTGGAAGGTTTGATAATCTGGCACTGATTGAGGGTTGACAGGGAACTTAAGAAGGGCAGGTAACAGGTGAAAGGCATGAATGGGGATTGCAGAGTGGGGCATGGTGCAGAGTAGCAAAGGTTGAGTAAAATGAGCAGGAAAGACTTGTCAGGATAAATGAAACAAGAAGACTGACAGGCTGTGGCATGAGAAGGAGGCAATATGTGACATTAGCTCAAGGTTTGATGAACTAACTTTGTGGAAAATGATGACCAGCTGAATATATTTACTGATACCTCTGCCATGAATATACAGTTAGTAAGTTAGTTTATGACTAAGACATTTTGGTGACAACTTTACCTCTGACTCACTATGTAAATATGTAGAATATGTTTAAAAAATACTATAAATCCAAATGTTATGACAGTAAAATGTTATGACAGCATAGCTGAGTGTTAATATTTGAAGGAAAGAACCAAAGGCAGTGTATCGCTAAAAGACGGGTTGTTTTTCTTTCACTCGAGCTACTAAAGGGCCAGTGCAGTGTAACTTTGCTGCAACTGCAAAAGAGCTTCACAGAAACTTAAACACAGTGAGCCAAGACTGGCATCAAAAGTAAGCTTGTACAACTTGAGTCTCCATGATCCAGTTTCTCACATCCTACTGAGCCCTTCCATCACGCTCAGCGGCAGGTGGTTTTGTCCTGTAAATCAGTGTCAAATATTGTGAATGAATCAACGGATTACTTTGTTAAAATGTGTTCATAACTTAAATTGTTTGTGGACCGAAAAAATGATTTCCTGGACCCGACATTGCCTGCGAACCTCCACTTGAAGATACGTGCTTTTGAGATTTAATCCTCGTTTGCGAAAGCCGATGTTGTCAGTATTCACCAACATCTTGCATCTCAAGAACCAAAGATTTTTATTTTTATTAAGGTTTTGTTTTGAACTCTTACAGTAAGACATGCAGAAATGGCTCAAATGTTCAAATTGGTTCCCGTTTCAAAACAGAAAATCCCTAAATTGTTTCTTTTATTGTTTTTAAAAGTCTTTCTTAAACTTTTAAACTAGTCGTTCATAAAGTTTTGTACAAAACAGACTGCACGTTATTACATCAGGGAATCTTGCAAGCTAAATTAAGATGTAAAAAAAAAAACTTGCACAACAAATATCTTTCGTGACACACAGCATTCCCAGAAGCTGATATCTCTTTCAAACTAACGCGCTCCTTTGAGCTGATTGGCTGAGAGGTGTTGGGTTGCCTTTCAGATGACACAAAGATGAAACACCGTGCCCTCACCACGGCTCTGCTTTCTGACACATGAGCATCGCCGTGTCAGCAGCTGCTTTGCCAGCTTCGCCTGAGATCCCAGAGAGGGAGCTCGAGTGGAATATAATCTAGAGGGGCGGGAAGGAAGTTAATCTGCCTCATGCTGTGGAGGTCGAGCAGAGTGCTATGATACTGGTGATGAAGTCACAGCCTCAGAATATAATCAAATATAGTTCTTAAATAAGTTTTTGACTTATGATCAGCAAGTTTTTGGACCATCTGTAACCATCTAAGTGCGGTCGACACCTAATAATCAGCATTTTAGCTATCAAAACACACAACCCCCAAAAAGGAGACTATAAAGTGATCAGAAAGGAGGAAAACGATACTTAGTGCTTCTATAGCTTTATGTTTTGTGAGTTTTTTTGGAGCGTTTTCATGAATACTGAATAAAATGTTAGTTATTTCATATATTCGGTTGTATTTCCTAGATTCTATCAAATGAATGTGAGTATTTTTGCTGTGTGCGTGCTTCTAGATCAGGAGCTGTTCTCTGGTATGTACATTGACTTCATGGGGACAGATGCTGCCATCTTCAGGAGCCTTACCAAGAGAAATGCAGTGCGGACAGACCAGCACAACTCCAAGTGGCTAAGTGGTGGGGGAAATGGCGCAAGCCAGCATAAATATAAATCCACAAAAAATGCAAAATTTGAAGAAATTCAGATTTTTTTCTATCTTTTTCTAAAACCTGTTGTTTTTTTCTGTTTCATTCAGAGCCAATTTTCATCGACGCCCACCTGATCCCAGACGGATCAGACCCAAACGATGCCAAATTGTACTTTTTCTTCCGCGAGAGGCTGACAGACAACAATGGAAACACCAAAAATATCCATACCATGGTTGCCAGAGTGTGTCCGGTGAGTGCGTCTGAACAAACCACTGATGAACGTTAGATGGTTTTAGGTTTCTGTAAGTCCTGCTTCTGTCTTCAGAATGACATCGGAGGGCAGCGCAGCCTCGTAAACAAGTGGACCACCTTCCTTAAAGCCAGGATGGTGTGTTCGGTGCTGGAGGAGGACGGCTCAGAAACACATTTTGATGAACTTGGTGAGTCACGCACTTTAAAAGCCATTTCATTTAGGGTGTATGAGACCATTGTAAAGTAATATAGGAAGTAAATACCAGAAACCAAAATCATCATAATTGTGGAAAACTTTCTTCAAGGTTTCCAACTGTTTGTTTTTCCATGAACTGTTCACAGAACTCTATGTTTAACATGGACTAAGATTTGAGGTTATTGTCAAACTGCTGACCTTGAGTTTTACAAATAATTTTTTAGTCCAGATCATCAGAGCCTATGTCAAAACACGCATTTATCAGCTCAAGCGTTCACAATTCATTAATGCTTCTTGTATGGAAAAGGAAGAGAGATTAGTTTCACGTATTTCAACTGAACAGTTCGTCTAAACACGTTCGTGTTTTTCCTTACAGAGAGCGTGTTTTTGCTGGAAACAGATCAGCCCAAAGGCCTGTTGCTTTTTGGAGTCTTCACGTCCACAAGGTGAGGCTGATGGAGCCAACGGTAACATTTCTGCAGGGCTCTGTGGTTCTGGTGGATTCTGACTGGACATCAGCAGGAACGGATGTGTCTCTGTTCAACGCAGACATCACATGCCATGTTTCTGAACAGTCCGGATGATTTATTACACAAAACGACCTTCACTTTGATGCTCTGTCTTTCTGTGGCGTGTATATTTATAGTGTTTGCATGGCATACAATAATGTATGTGGTGTCTTTTATAGGTGTAGAATCAAAGTTATTTAATGCTGCTTGAGTGCATAAAGAATTCTGATGATTATTTGTTGTATAACTAGAGCCTTGTTTCTGCACCTCTAATCTGAAGTGAGCAACAAAAAAAACTAAGTAGGTAATTAAACTAAATTGATGCATTAGAATTGCTTTAACTCAGCTGCTGAGTTTGTGAGTTTCTACTGATTTATTTTGGTTTATACTGAAAAGATGGTTCACTCATGGGAATGAGAGTCTATCCTTGTCTAGGGTAACAAAACAAAAATGATCAGTAGGGATGCACGATATTATCGTTATGGTATTGGTATCGGCCAATATTAGCAATAAAGTTAAATATCGGCCATTCCATAAAAATAACTCCCCGATATAAAAGGCATTGTTTGTTTGTTTGTTTGTTTATATATATATATATATATATGGTGCTGTTTTTGTATGACAATCCAGTGACAAGGATACATGCAGCACCAACAGAACGTTATGACATCACACGCGCCGTTGAGTTTAGATTGGTAAAAATTTACAAATTTGCACTGTTCCGAGTGTTGTCATTGTGTTAGAGTAAATGTCATGAACAAATTTGACATTAAACATAATCCAAGTTGAAGTGTTGCATCATTTTCAGTCCCCTTTTTGTCATCTGCATTTGGTAGCCGGCCAAATTGACAAAGACCATGCAGAATAATGTAGTATTTTAATTCCACAGCAGAGAAAGCTATGTAGTCTTTGTAAGTAGATCTAGGGAAAAATATCGGTATTGGTATCGGCCAAATAAATTTTAACACATCGGCATATCAGCCAAAAATCCAATATCATACATCCCTAATGATCAGTCTTAACCAGGTTAAAAAATTAATCAATATAACCTCAAGTGTGCAAAACATAGAACAATAGATTTCACAGTCATTTTTTTCAAACTAAGCCAAAATGGAAATACTGTGTGTGAAAAGACTGAGCCCATGTTGCTGCATTGATAGAATTTAAGAGGAACAGTAGCAGCCAGTTTCTGCTGGTCAAGTTCACTTTATTTATTGATCAGCAGCAATGGGACCATCTCTATAAAATAGTATTTTGGACATTTTGCTGATCTGGAGCAGACAGATGTGTAAGCACAACACCAAGAAGGGAAAACAACAGCAATGACCTTAGAGATGCAACTGTTGATGCCACCCATCAATCTGGAAAGGGTTAAGGATTATTTTCAAACAATTTGGAGACCATTAGTTAACTTGAGAAATTATTCACATGTGGAAAACATTTTTTGGGGAGTGGTAGCGCAGAGGTTAGAGATGATGGGCCTGTGATCAGCAAGTCGCAAGGTCAAGACTTCTGGAATGATGTCCTCTGGACAGATGAGACCAATGTAGAGATGTTTGGGTTTCACCAAACATGACCATACGTTACGACTAAACACACCAGCACAAACACTCCATGTTAACTAGCAAGCATGGTGATGGATGGAGCATTATATGGGCTTGTTTTGTAGCCACAAGACCATAGTCAAACAAGAAGCCCTCCTTTAATGAAGGTATTTTAGTCAAATATGAGGTCGTCTGTCCACCAGCTAAAGCTTGGTTGAAACTGAGTCATGATGCAACAGGACAATGATCCACAGCAGCAAATCCACAACAGAATGGATCAAGATGTTGTAGCAATCCAGTCAACCTCAACTAGAGATCTGTTGGGATCTTAAGAGGCGTGCTCAAATGAATGCCAGCACATGTCAATGAAGTGAAGCACTTCTCCACATATCTTTTCTACAGGATATCCTTCCCAGTTTAAAAAAAAAAATCTCACTTCATCATGTTTCATAAAAGACACCCAATTCTAAACTTATTGTGGATAAAAAAAATAAAAAATAAACTTTCTCGAGTGGAACCCAAAATACTCAAATTTAAGCTTGAATAGAGTTGATTCGGTCAAAGTGTTATAAGCGTAATCTGACTCTTTGTGACAGTTCAAAGTAGAAGAAGGCCTTTTTACCACATGCTGCTCTGCTAGCTGAAGTCGACCACACGCAACAGGCTGCTTTTATTCTTCAGGCCTCTGAGGAAATGTGGTTTATAGAAATCACTTAATCCATTTGTTGGGAGTTTTTCTGTGGGAATCAAAGAGACGGACCTTTATTTGACTTGTTTCCTCAGCATCCTAGACAGTCTGCAGTAATGTAACCCTCCACAAGAAACACACATCGAGGTCTCTGAGCTCAGTGTTTCTGTTTCCACTCTCTTTGTACAATATGTTGCTGTTCCCTCTCCCAACAAAGCACCTTTTCTATGTTAATGCCGTGTGGTTTGAAATGCTTGAGCCAAACCACATCGCATATGAAGAAGGAAGTAGGTGAGCTGTCTACTCTGGCTGGAGTTAGGCGACAATCAGTCCAGGCTGTGTGACTCACTTTAATATTAAAAAAGAAGAGTTTTTTTTTTTTTTTTTCCCATCTAAGACATGAGTTTAAGTTCCTGCTGTGGTGTTCAAAGCAATGCATGTGTTTTCTTCCCTCAGCTCTGTGTTTAAAGGCTCGGCGGTGTGTGTGTACAACATGGCCGACATCCTGACGGTCTTCAACGGGCCCTTTGCTCACAGAGAGGGGCCCAACTTCCAGTGGGTGGCGTTCCAGGGGCGCATCCCCTACCCACGACCAGGAACTGTGAGTTCACTATCAAGCCATTTAATCATTCTGTAACCAGCTGTTTCAGCACAGAATCCAAATATCTCCCTGTGTTCATCTTTACTTTAAACAAGCTGCTGCTGCTCGTGGTGCTTTACAAGATGGCTGACCATTCAACGTTTATCAAAGGGGATTTAAAAAAGGTTTTGGCTAAATTATCTGAGTACTGTATTTTTCGCTGTATAAGTTGCAGTTTTTTGCATAAATTAGCATGCCCTGCAAACTTGTACAGCGAAGCAACTTTTATGTTTTTTCCCCATATTTATAATCCAATTTTTGGTTGAGATGTGACGATTTAATTCATTCTGACATGGAAAATATTGACCACTACCATTTTCAGCCACTAGAGGGCGGTTGAGTTATATGGCAAGCCAAGTGTCTCATTAATAGGCAAAAGTGGCTATTAATGAGATGCTTGGCTTGCCATACTAACCACCTTCATCTCGCTCCGGAACTCCTGGAGTGAACGTCAAATCAGCTGCATTTCGTAGCGCTGCTCAGGCGAAGTACAGCTGATTTGACCATTAAAGTACATTTATTAAGGAAAAGTTAGACTGAGACATACCTTTGCTATAATTTCGAGCAAACAAATAATTGTTTTTAAGTGTTAATCTTGTTAAATTCCTTCGTGCACACTCCCACAGCTGCCATTTGGCAGTCAATTGATTTTTGGCACAACACCGGCCCACGTTTCCGGGTGGTCAGCTGTGACGCATAATAGATGCGACGTATACGGCGAAGCGACATATTTATGTTTTTTCTTCTTTATTAGACATATTTGGACTGATGCGACTTATACGGTGGTTCGACGTTTACGGTTGCAAATATTGTACTCAATTTCCTAATTGGCTGTTTTTAGCCTATTTTCCCACCAAACCTCATTGATTTTGCTCACAAGTAACTGGTAACATTTGTGCCTGTATGGATTGTGTATTGGTTTGTAAATAACAATTAACAGCTACATTAGTAGTATTTTTTTAACAATTCAATGTGTTTTTTTCCTTTTATTTCTTCAATTTCTTTATTTTATGTTTGTTTCTACACAACTGATATCAGTGACATTTATAATATCCAATAATGTTCTAGATAAAACTGCATATTTGGTCAGTTTAGAAATTTTAAAACCAATATATCTTTTTCGTTCATTAAAAAAATTATTATTTTTTTCATTTATTCTTTAAAAACATATTTCTTTCCCTAATATTAAAATAAGAAAAAAGGAGTGTGCATACATTAAAATAATAATCTAGCATTATGGACACTCACCATTACATGAATAAATTAAAAAGCAGTGGATTTGCTTTAATTAAAGCTCCATTGTTTCTAATGTATGTGAATGTAGGTTTGGATCATATGTTTGTTCAGGTGAATATTTTTTTAAAGAATGTCTGGGATCTGAATTTGAGATTTAGTTGCTCTTGGGCAATAAAAACCAGATCACCATTTTTCAGCATTTTCCTGGTTCTGCTGTAAATCAGCTCTGCTATTTGTGGTTTTATGGATGACCGTCCAAGACGGTGACAAAAATGGTTTTTAGCTGTGGGAATGTGCCTCAGGCAGGGGGTGCTATGAGCATGTGGGGATTTTTAGGAGCAGAATATTTATAATCTCAAACATATGCAGTGAAATTTACATAAACATGCTGTAAAGATCTATAAATGCACAACATGTCCACTTTTTGTGGACTTTAAGTGGTTTTACCAAATTTAAAAACACTAATGTTCCATATATTTAGATTTTAAACATATGAAGCACTAATAAAATCTGTTTTTGTTTTTATAAAATTCTTTAGCTATTTGGACTTGCGTGTCCTCTAGCATTTATCATGTGTTGCTGAAGCACCCTGCACACCCATACTTCACACAGCCTTGGACTTAACATTGTAACTTTATGAAAACAAAATAAATAAATAAAAAATCTCTATTACTTCATTTGTCTGACTTTGTGCACAAACTAAACACAAACTCTACCACATCTTTCATGAATTAATGTATAAACTGTTGTTTGTTTTGCTTTTTTTAAGTAAAAAATAATTAAGAGTGACAATTTTCCTATGTACCTTTTCATATTACAAATCCAAATAAATATTTAAAATGTAATAAGTTATTGCAACACTCGTAGGAGCAAGGCATGTCAGAAGAAGGAAAATTGACAAATTTAAAAATATCAAACGCTTTTTTTGGATTTGACTGTGGATTAAATCCATTTGCAAATTAAAAACCATAAAATATTTGTTTGTGTGTTTATTACCAGCAACAAGTTGCTTTTATATACAAAAAAAAAAAATCATAAAACATCTGTTTTCCATCATTTACATCTGCACCAGGTTAGAGTTGTACCACTTTCTTATTTATTTTTGTTGTTACAGATGAACATTTAAACTTTAAAGATGAGAATAAAATGAATTTGATCAAATGTGTGTGTCCAGTGTCCCGGCGGAGCCTTCACACCGGACATCCACACAACTAAAGAGTTCCCAGATGAGGTGGTGAACTTTGTTCGCAACCATCCAGTCATGTTCAACCACATTTACCCGGTGGGAAGGAGACCCCTGGTGGTCCGAACCAACTCCGACTATAAATACACCTCGGTGGCTGTGGACCAGGTCATGGCTGCAGATGGAAACTACCAAGTGCTTTTCCTGGGCACAGGTATGATTCTACACAAGCCTCGGCTATTATTTCATGCAATCTGCTACAAGAAATTATTTAATTTGATTAATTCCCACTATCACGTATGGATTTCCTATATGATTATACAAATCATATCCATTTTGTATTTCGAAGTGTCGGAGAATAAAGCCGTTAAATGCTTCCAATGTGAAGCTCTTTAACAGACACGTAAGCTGTCTACAAAAAGGCCTGACTCCGTTTTTCTTTTTCTGGTTTATATCTGATGCGTTTTATGAGTTAATGATTTCTAGAGTCGTATAACTTTAGATATCAGACAAACTGATAAAGGTTACAGCATGCAGCGAGTGCTGGTACATTGATAACTCAGGCAGGTCCGATTGATGCGTTTGCACAATTCATGTCTGTCCAAGCAATGTAAGATATAAGTTATACCATTTATCTTATAACAAGAGCATGCTGTCCACATTTTTTAACAGGTGGACTGTAATCTCCAGGTACTCAAACGTGACTCGTTTATAGTCTAAAGATGACGGTGTGCACATCTGTAGGGTGCTGAAGCCTCAAAGTGGTGTCTCACTGTCTGGTTTCATAAAACTATGTCCAAATCGTCTCCAGAATGTCTTACGACTTTCATGTCCGCCTCCTCGAGTGAGACTCAGAGGTGCGCAGCCCTGTCACTTGAGTTTGAACATGTTTATAACTTTTATGTGACAAGGTTATTCTCAAAATAGTCACAGAGCCATCAAGCTTATCTCCAACACGCCTTTAGAGCGCTAGAACTGCTCCTTTAATGGAGTTCTCCTTTGACAGAAAACATTCAAAGCACCAGGTCTAAAACTATAACGGAGTATTATAATTTTTACCCGCTTCTTCCTTTTTTGGGTCATGGTGGTCACTGGTGCCCATGTCCAGCAGTCACTGTGTGAGAGGTGGGGGACACCCTGGACAGGTCTCCTGTCCATCACAGGGACTCATAGAGACAAACAACCATTCACTCTCTCACTCACACCTAGAGTTACCAATCAGTCTAACATGTATGTTTTTGGTCTGTGGGAGGAAACAGGAGTACCCGGAGAAAACCCACACATGCACAGAGAGAACATGTAAACTCCACCCAGAGAGGCCCCCGGTCTGGGGTTTGAACCAGGGTAACCTGCTCACTGAGAGGTGGCAGCTCTACCAACTGTGCCACCGTGCTGCCCGTGTTAGGGCCACGCTAAGAAAAAAATGTTTACATTACGAGAATAAAGTCGTAACGTTACGGGAATAAATTTGCAATTTACAAGAATAAAGTTGGAATAATATGAGAATATAAAGTCTTAATATTATCAGAACTCCGACATGAAAAAGCAGTCTTACAACTGCGATAAAAGTATGAATGTTGAGCATCTTATTAAGTTATACTTTGGTATTGGTTTTACAAATAAGGAAATTCTTAATCTGTCAGATTATTATCAGTATCATGACTTTGAAACGATTGTGCAAATGACTGTTTGGAAAAAAATCTAAACTGTTTTACTAATTGAAAATGACTTTATTCTGGTAATGTTACAAGGTTATTCTCGTATATTATGACTTTATTCTCATATTATTTCGACTTCATTCTCGTACGACTTTATTCTTGTAATTTCAGAACTTTATTCTTGTAATATTATGACTTTATTCTTTTACAACTTTATACTCATACAAATTTATTCTCATATTATTTTGACTTTATTCTCATATGACTTTATTCTTGTACGACTGCATTCTCGTAATATGACTTTATTCTTGATAAATTATGAATTTATTCTTGTATGATTTTATACTCGTACAACATTGTTCTCATATTTTTTTTACTTTATTTTCGTACGATTTTTATTCTCGTAATATTATGACTTTATTCTTGTACGACTTTATTCTTGTACGACTTTATTCTCATATTATGTTGATTTTATTATCGTGCTACTTTATTCTCATAATAAGACTATTCTTGTATTATTTCAACTTTTTCATAAGACTTTATTCTCGTAATATTATGACTTTGTTTTCATATTATTTCAACTTCATTCTCATACGACTATTCTCGTAATTTCACAACTTTATTCTTGAAATATTATGACTTTATTCTTTTACGACTTAATACTCGTACAACTTTATTCTCATATTATTTCGACTTTATTCTTGTATGACTTTATTCTCGTACAACTTTATTCTGGTATTATTACAAGGTTATTCTCGTAATATTATGACTTTATTCTCGTATTATTTTGACTTCATTCTCATACAGCTTTATTCTCGTAACATTACAAATTTATTCTTGTAATATTATGACTTTATTCTCGTATATTACAACTTTATTCTTGTACGACTTTATTTTCATAATATCACGACTTTATTCTTGTAATATTATGACTATTCCTTTACAATTTTATACTCATACAAATTTATTCTCATGTTTCAACTTTATTCTCATATGACTTTATTCTCATATGACTTTATTCTCGTAATATGACTTTATTCTTGATATATTATGACTTTATCCTCATATGACTTTATACTCATACAACATTATTCTCATATTATTTCGACTTTATTCTCGTACGACTTTGTTCTTGTAATATTATGACTTTATTCTCATATTTTGACTTTCACATAATATGATGGCTTTATTCTTGTACAACTTTATTCTTGTATATTTCAGAGTCAGAGTCAGAGTTTCTTTATTGTCATTCGCACCTCATGTGGTACATGTGGTGGAGCGAAATTATGTACACAAGGTCCCAGTTACATCCAACAATAAAATGTATAAGAAAAACAGTAATAACATCTAAGATATGAACTAAGAAAAACATCAACTAAAGAAAAACTAAGAAAAAATATTTTGACTTTATTCTCGAATTATTTTTATTTTATTCTCGTACTACTTTATTCTCATAATATGACTTTATTCTAGTACTATTTCGACTTTGTTTTCATACGACTTTATTCTCATAATATTATGACGTTATACTCATATTTCAACTTTTTTTGCGTATTATTTCAATTTTATTCTTGTATTACTTTATTCTCGTAATATTATGACTTTATTCTCGTAATATTATGATTTTATTCTTGTACAATATCATACTCATACAACTTTATTCTCATAATATTATGACTATTCTTGTATTATTTTGTTTTTATTCTCGTACTGCTTTATTTTCATAATATTTTCATTTTATTCTTGTAATACTATGTTATTCTCGTAATATTTCAGCATTATTCTTGTATGACTTTAGTCTAGTAATATTACAATTTTATTCTTGTAATTTCATTACTTTTTCTCGTAATGTAATTTTTATTTTTTATTAACATGACCCTAATACTCCATCATATAAAACCACCCTGATTATTTACATATTTTTAAATACTTGTCCAAATCTGCCTGTCTTTATTTTAAAAGTGGACTCCAGCAGATTAAATTATGAGGTGGGCACAGAAAAAGCCCACGCAAGCTGTGCACCCCAAAAAATGCTATTTTTTAAAAGGGCCACTCAAAATGGGAGCTTGCTTTTTACTGGTCGCTTTACCACAAACACTCAAAGTTCAGTGAGACTACAACAAAAAATTTACCTCTTAACATTTTCTCAGTTTTTAGTCACTGACTCATCTCCCCAGTTTTTAGTCACTGACTCATCTCCCAACAGTCTTATCGAGAGATCACCTTTATTTGTAGCAGGTTCACGGGCCCAGCCAGTAAAGTGTCTTTCAGTCCAGTAAATCTGTCCAAAACAGCAAAAGAATTTAGTTTCAAAAAAGATTAAATAACAAAGTAAAACAGATTATAACTGTGGCTTGAAATTATTTATTAAGTAAAACAAAATCGGTTCAAAAATCTAAACAGCCTTTATTTTCTACATTCTGACACCAAATACCAACAATGCCACTGTGGCTGAGCAGTTAGAGGAGTCGTCCTCCAATGCAAGAGTTGGGGGTTCAATTCCACCAGCTGACACTGCCGAAGTGTCCATGGGCAAGACACCAAACCCCTCATTGCCTCCGATGTGTCCCATCGGTGTATGAATGTGATAAAGCACTGATTATTCTTTGTAAAGATATAGTACAGTGCTGTCTGAACGGGCACAGATTGTGGTGTAAAGTGCTTTGAGTGTCTTGATCAGATAAAAAGGTGCTATATAAGTACAGTACATTTACCATAAATACAAGAGCATGGACATAAAACAATTAGAAAATCAATTAATATCACACTTAAACACACGTTTAACAAAATAAGCTCCAAAACCAGAAACCGACCCCAAATAACAACAAAGTAATGTTAAATGAATCTAAAGAGACACAAAGTGGTTAAAAAAAAAACACGACTAAACTGGACTCAGCAAACCTAAACAGCCTCACATACTCAAGTCAATGAAGTTGCAGTTTTTAGATTTATTTTTATTTCCAACCAAGAGGAATGCATCCATGCTGCTTCAGACCAAACGAGGCAAAGAGACATTTCCTCTCGATTAAAACCCACAAAGTGTACCCCCTGTATCCCCGCTCTGCTCACGACACAGAGTAATATGTATTTGTATTCGGTACACACGGCGCGCTCGTGTTTGTGCGTCTCCACGTTGTGCACTTTTGCATTCAGCAAACAGCTCTGGGAGCCTCTCGCGCAGCTGCTTGTGTTTACTGAGCAGCCTCCTCTGTCTGTTCCTCCTTCCTGGATTCTTGAAGAGAAGCCAAGGCCATCCGAGCATATCTGCTGCTGAAACGGGGCTTTGTCTCCAGGAAGTGGGAGACGCTCTTATGGGGTGTTTGCAGGAGCTGTTTTTGTAAATCTCAGGACAAAATGGCCACATTGATGATGATGATGATAATGATGGAGGCCCCTTTAAGTGTTCATATCAGTGAACAGTCTGTCTTTCTGCCCCCAGATAAAGGTACGATACAGAAAGTGATTGTGCTGCCGAGCAACCAGTCCCTGCAGGAAGATCTGATCCTGGAGGAGCTGGAAGTCTTCAAGGTTCTTTCTTGGTCTTACTTTCTTTGAGTTTTGTCCTTTTGCTTCGCTTCAGATCAAAGGCAGTGGTGTTGAGGGTGTGTGCTTCATCACAAAGGCCCAGAGCAGACAGACAAAGGCAGGGTGGCGCTGGTGAGATGGATGTAGTGCAGCGGGGAGTGATGGGAAACATGCTCGCAGTCTGCTCATTGCCCTGAACGAACCTTTGCACGTGTTTCCTTTTAACTGGAAAAATCTGATCAAACTGTCATCACGTCAAAGGATTCCTTTGATGTTTTAACTCCACCTGGACTGCAGCAGTTAAATAATTTTTTTAAATGTATTTCTCCTGGGAAGGCTGTTGAAACTGATCCTTGGTTTAATTACCCTCATCCCGCACTTGTATTGATCCACTACAATTAAAGGCCTAGCATCCCCACTCTTCATGGTATGACGAGAGGAGACAACTATTTTGGTTAAATCTTAAAAATAACATTACGAGCAATCTCACGGTGGCCATCTTGAATTGGCATAACTCCAAAACGTAATCAAGTGTAGACGCATATCCTGTGATAACTTTCTGGTAATTCCATTGAAATCTTTCCAGTGCGTCATAAATGCTGACAAATAAGAGCGTAGTGTAGTGTTTTGAGTTTGCATTGAGGATGACTCTCATCTACTACTACACCAAATTTCAGTTCAATATCTGTTAAACTGGCTAAGTTACAGCCATTTTAGTGTTTCTTAAAGTCGGTTAGCTGTTCAAGCCATCTTAAAATAGATTAATTACAAAGAGTAATCGTTTGTAGAGAAGCATCTGACGTGTATTTCATTAAAGTAAAAAAAAAAATCCATCCAGTGTTGCAAGGGATATTTTGCAAACAGACAATTTTTTGATTGTGATAACTAATGGCATCGTTTTGAAATCAGATTTTCAGATTTTTCAGGCAAAGACGAAATTGTGACTTCACCTTTTGGTTGCAGGTGTTTAAAGTGTGATAATTGTGACACAAGCAAGTAGACAAACTTTGCATGTTTTTAGTTGTTTACTACCGTATTTTTCGGATTATAAGGCGCACTTAAAATCCTTTAAGTTTTTTTTTCACAAATTGACAGTGACCCTTATAATCTGGTGCGCCTTATAGTCCAAAAGCACGGTAAATTCCTGTCCTGATCTTAACTTTGACTTTTTTGTTTCCTTTGTTAATTCCAGAATCAAGTTCCTGTTACAAATCTGAGGATATCCTCCAAAAAAGTAAGCAGTCTGAATATTTTCCCCTTTTCCATCCCGTTTATTTCTTCTGTTTAAAACAAAATTGACTGTCTGTTACGATAAGTGATGTATGAAATGGGCAGGAGGAAATCTCCAGGGCCGCCCCAACAGCTTGGAGCTAACAGGGCTGAAGTTGCTTCAGAACTCTGCCTTGTTTTCCTGTCAACCAGCCACTGACATCTGAACCGTTTGTTTTTGCAGCAACAGCTGTACGTCAGCTCAGAGGTTGGGGTTTCGCAGGTCTCCCTGCACCGTTGTCCCGCATACGGCTCGGCCTGCGCTGACTGCTGCCTTGCCAGAGACCCCTACTGTGCCTGGGATGGACTGAGCTGCTCTCGCTTCTATCCAACTGGCAAAAGGTACAAAACGGTCCAGTTTTAGATTCTCCTGTTCCAGTTTTGTAGCATTTTACAGCCTTTTTTAAAGAAAACACTAAGTAGTATTTAGGGTTCACCAAGGATGTTGGTGAGCACAACCTTTTAAAGACCCAAAAATGTGTATTTGCGTAGGTATTGACAAAGGCTGATTAGGGAATCATCACTGAAATTGATAAAGGCTTGTATATTTTTCCTGTGTGTTCGTGTATGTGTGAGTGTTTGCTTTGTTTGCACTGTTAGCAAAATGCCTCATAAACCAAGTGGCAGTTTTTAATTAAACTTATCGCTAGTATTCATTGGATAAACATCTACAACTGATTAACTTTTGATGTCAACTCCATCAAAAATTGCCGTGACAACTAAGCAAACTTAAACACAAAAATGACCACAACCCATCTAATTTTACAGATACTGAGGTAAAATTAGGTGTGGTAGTAGATGAGAGTTGTCTACAAAGCAAGCACCAAGCATTTATTGATCCAAAAACTATTTTTTATCTTGCCATGGGCTATTGAAGTCAACTTTGTCCTTCTGTTAGCAAAACATCTTGTAGGATAGATTTTATTACAATTTTCTGAAAAAAAAAATATTGGATGGAGTTCACTTTTGGACTCAACGCCATTTAAGATCAACACCGGAGCTAAGCAAATTTAGCAAATACAAAAATGGCTATAACTCGTTAAAAATTGTTAATATTGTTTTTATTCAATGAAATGCCTTTTTGAATGAGAATGAAAACTTTTTTAGATCTTTCAGTCTGGTTTTAAACACGTAGAGAGCACCGAAGCAGCTTTAGTAAGTGTTTGTAATGATATTCTTTTAGCAAATGACTGGTCAGTTTGTGATCCTTGTACTCGATACTATTGACGACAGTATCCTTGTATCGTGGTTAGAACACTGGGTTGGGATTACAGGTGGAGCATTATAGTGGTTCCGTTCATAAGTGAGTGACAGGAGCTTTTGTTTTAATGTTGGTAATTTATAATCTGCTTCAGCACTTATTTCCTGCGGGGTTCCGCAAGGCTCGATTCTTGGACCCCTTCTGTTTTCACTGTATCTGCTCCCTTTGGGGTCCATCCTGAGGAAACATGATCTTTCTTTTCTTTGGTATGCTAACGATTGCCAGATTTTTCTGCCCTTAAAACTCAATAGTTCTTGCTCCATTCACCCGCTGTTAAAAATGCTTTGATGACATTAAGGCATGGATGGCTTCAAAATCTTTTTAAGTTAGAGTCAATTTTGAGTTTTTAGTATTTTATTTTATTTATTTATTTTCTTTTAATGTCTGCCATTGTCTTTTATTGTTCAGCACTTTGGTAACAACTGCTTTTAAATGTGTTTTATAAAAAGTTTGACTTAACTTGACTGAAATGTGATGTTATGGTAGCTGAGCAACTTCCCCATTACACTCAGAGTGCTTCACATTGGGCAGTATATTGGCATAGAACATGGGCATTGTCAACCCCGGCTGTCTGTTAGCCAAATATCTCCCAAAATACTGGATAGATTTTAATGAAATTCCAAGTAATCACTGGTTGAACCCCTACAAATGATTACCTTCTGGAGTTGGCACAAGTCAAGATAACCACCATTGCTAACCAACATTAGCCTACACAAAAGTGGCTATAAGTCAGCCATATTTAAAGATATTGAGTTAAAATTAGATGTGGTTGTAGCTGAGTGCACATATACTCCAAGCACACACATCTGGCTAGATCTTACAATAAAAGAAAAAGCTGAGCATAACAGTATTTACAATTTTTAACCAAACTGTCCACATTTATCATACAATGTTGTGGTAAAACATTGCGAGGGCAGGAAGTGAGTAATATCCAAACCTTGAAAATTCGCTAGGCTTTTATGCTTCCATTGTTTTGTTGCTCTTTCCCAATGTGCATGAAAATTACGATTCACTGGTGAAACAATAAATCTGAATTCAATCAGTGTACCAGAATGTGGGCAGCAGCCGATGAATAATCTTTCAAAGCAGAACAGAAAGCTCCGTCCCACAGATTGGGAGTGCAGCAGGATCAGATGACTGAGATCCATCAGTGAGCCATGTCACAAATGCTGCTCTCGTTGTTTCCCTCCTCGTGTGCAGACAGACCAGGACATCGCCTTTAAACTTACATGTCAATGTTGAGACCCAGCTGTGGGTTTCCTGACAGCTCCAATCAAAGGGTTGAATTTAAATTAGCCCTGGAAGAAAAGATTCAAATCATTTTCTTATTTTTTACTTGAAACGTGTCAGCTGTTTGCACGCTGTTCTGAATGAGTGTGCACCAGTGAGCATAATGACATGCTCAGATTTTCCTCATGTTGGTTTTGGCAGCAAACGTTCCTTGCACAGTTTTATTATGAAAGGAGGAAGGATGCTATTGCTGCGGGTTTTATTTTTTATTTATAGCTTGTACTCAAATATTTGTTTGTCTTTTTTGCAGGAGAAGCAGAAGGCAGGATATCATGCATGGAAATCCACTCGTTCAGTGTAGGGGATTCAATTTAAAAGGTAACTAAAACTACAACTGAATTGATTTAATGGCAGAACAACTTCAAGAAACGGTTCATATTTTAGAAGTGGAGTTTGCTGGAAAGATTAGGAACAATTGATACACTTTCTGTTACAGAAATGGCTTCACACAACATCAGCTTGGACAAATAATGTAATTCTGACCAGATTTGTGGGAATACAGTTAGTCAGAGCGAGGCTAAGACCTTTGCTGCCATCTTAAAATAATTTCAATCCTAAAACCTTTGTAGTTGTCTTAAAACAGTTTGCAAAAACATGTTATCACCATCAGTGTCAATGCATCTATTGTTAAGCAGAATTAAGAAGTTATTATTGGCCCATTTTAGCAAAATCTCATAAATCAATGGACAGGTTTTATAATACTTTTAGAAATTAATCATTGTCTACAACTGGTTATTTTTTAGAGTTTGCCCCATACAAGACAATAACTATAGCTAAACAGCCTCACTAAATACAAATATGGCTTCAACTTTACCTATTTTACAGAGACTGAGCTTAAAATTGGAGTGGGACTAGCTAAGAGCCATCTTCAACAATAATTCAAGTGATCGGAATTTAGGCAACTCAACAACAACAACAACAAAAAAAAAAGCCTTAACTCTGTTTTGTAGATATTGAGTGGAATTTGGTGTGATAGTCCTGAGATGCATTGCAAGATTTAAAATACTACATTAGCTTGTGCAAGTTTCAATGTTGTGCCAAAGCAACTACCGTACTTGCCACTGTACACGTCGCACCACCGTATAAGTCTCATCGGTCCAAAAATGTCTAATAAAGTGGAAAAAAACATAAATACCTCACTTTGCCGTATAAGTCGCATCTATTATATGTCACCTCTGACAACCCAGAAATGTGGGCCAGTGTTGTGCCAAAAATCGAATGTCTGCCAAATGGCGGCTGCGGGAGCATACATGGGAGAACTTTAACAAAAATTTAACAAGATAACCACCTAAAAACAATTATTTGTTAGCTCGAAATTATAGCAAAGTTGTGTCTCAGTCTAACTTGTCCTTAATAAATGCACTTTAATGGTCAAATCAGCTGTGTTTCACATGGGCGGCGCAGTGAAATGCAGCCGATTTGACGTTTGCTCCAAGAGTTCCAGAGCGAGACGAAGGTGGCTCACTATGGCAAGCCAAGTGTTTCATTAATAGCCACTTTTACCTATTAATGTGACACTTGACTTGCCATAATGCTCGAGGACTCTCTAGTGGCTGAAAATGGTAGTGTTCAATATTTTCCATGTCATAATAATAATAATAATAATAATGTCATCACAATGTCAGCACTGTATGTTTCCATACAATGGCGAAATTAGTCTCTGCATTTAACCCATCCACCACCAGGTGGTGCAGTGGGCAGCTATTGAAAGCGCCCGGGGGACATTTTGGGGATTAGACGTAATAATGAATGAAATTGTCAGATCTCAGCCAAAAATTAGGTTATAAATATGGGGGAAAACAAATACTTCACTGTATAAGTTGTTGGCATGCTAATTTGTGCAAAAAATGTGACTTATATAGGGTAAAATATGGTCGACATTTTAGTTAAAACTCTGGCATTAAAGGTGGCAGGTGATGTGCATTCCTTTGGGGAATGCTAGGCCATTTATTTATAAGTGCAAATAGCAGCAGCTAGCAGTCTCTCTTCAAGCGCAGTCTGTGGATAATTATGACAGAAAATCAAAATATTTCTTCTAGAATAACTGTGTGATATAAAACATTATAAAGGTTTGCAAAATAGTGTTCGCACGAGGTGCATGAAATAAGACAGCAACAATCCACTTTGGCCTTGGTCCCTCTGGAATTAGCCGTTAGCTTGTCAAGTTGGTCAGAGCTTTGGAATTTGGAATGGTGTCACATTGAATTTAACCACACTCCATTTGACACTCGGAAACCAGTAGGATTTGCCAATTGTGCTCAGGCTGTTATTAGCAAAACAAGCCTATTTTTCTGTCTATAAATGCTATCTAAAACAGGTAAGATAGTAATATTTTATGACCACCAAACCGCACTTCAACAGGTAGAAAAAACTACTAAAAGTATGTGACTATTACAGTCCAATACTTAAGGTTGATTTGTGTAAGAGTTGACTTTAAACCTCTGTTTGAAATAAGAAAACGGCTGAATTCCTCCGTTCTCAAAAAAAAAATCAGCTGATGTGGCAAATAACTCATATTTAGCCCAGATGTGTATTGATAAAGCTGCATGTCTTAAGTCATAAAGGAAGCTTGTGCAATGTCCAACAAATGAACTTGCACTAGAAAACCTGCTGTAAAGCATGAATTTTGGGATCCGACCATGTGGTCATTACCAGTAATTAGTCACATCCCTGAAATACACGTGGCTGACTAATGAACTATTTCGGTCCAACTCAAGGACATGACGGGAATGTGGGTTGGTTTGAAGTCTTGAAGGTTATATTGTTTGAAGAAAATGAAGTCTGGATGGAGTTTAGTTGTGCTGCAAGAGCCAAACTGAGCTTTATGTCAACATTTCTCTGTCATCCTGAGACTAGAGACAGATTTGAGCCCATCTGTGAGCTTCGTGTCTGTCAGGGAATGACGTCTGATGTGCCTCCTTTTGACTCTGAGCGCGTGTGTGTGCATGTGTGTGACAGCCTACAGGAACGCCGTAGAGATAATGCAGTATGGCGTGAAAAACAACACCACTTTCCTGGAATGTATTCCAAAGTTTCCCCGGGCGTCGATTCGCTGGCTCATCCAGAGGGACAACGACAGGAGGAAGGAGGTCAGTCTGAAAGTTGAAGGAGTCAAAAATGTATCTGTAATTTAGGATACGCATTTATGGAGCTGTGGAGACAATAAAATAATAAGCTGTGACTGATTAAGTGTCCTCTTTCCTGTTTATTTTTATTGCCCGTCTTTATGTCAGTGACGATCATCTAATCACCTGTCTGTGCGTGTGTCTGTTGATTTACATCGACAACTCATTAATTTTTGGAGGCAACCTGATTCACGATGGCCACAGCAGTTAATCAATCTTAGCAACACAAAAAATCCCTATAAATCATATTTTACAGTGAAGCAAAACATTTGATGCACATATACAGCTCGTTTTAATTTATCCTTCATGTATACAGGAAGTCTCGTTGAGTCACGAGGACTCATTTACAAGAGAGACCTGTTTTAGCCAGACAACGTACAGAGTACAGTTAAAAAACAATAGTGTCATAAAAACTAGAAAAATCACACATCTACAACTCGTTCACTTTAGGAAGCAATGGAATTAAAAATGGTTGTCACAAACTATAAACTTTAGCAAACACAAAAATGGTTAAAACTTAATGAGTTGTATCCTGATGCATGCTGAATAATCCAGGTAGACAAATCTAACGAGGTTGAGTCAAGTCCTCTGGACGGATTCTTCTTTGTTGAAATGTTTCGTCTTTTATTCAAACGACCTTCAGTCTGAGGAGCTGCTACAAACTCAGTCTTATAAGCAGCACCTTCTCATAGTGGATCAATCAGTTTGCTGATGAGCCAAAACCATTGTTCCTCTCTATCAAGGTTGTGAACATCTTCATCCCTGAAAGAGTGACCTCTGACCTGCAGGTGAGTGTAGACTGCAGAGTCCTGGTCTGATGATGTTGCTCTTCTGTGCTGGGCCATCCTTTTGGACAGTGGCTGTTTAGTTTTCCCAATGAAAGACTGATCACAGCACTGACACTGAACAACAGATGCAATATTACTCTGTTTGTGCCAGGGGACTGGATCTTTGGGATGAACCAATCTTTGCCATAATGTCTTTTGGGGTTTGAAAGCCACTGGGACGTCTTGTTTAGAAAATTAACATCTCAGTTTCTCTGAAACTCCAGCACAGAGGACCCCACCTTGTTAGGTTGATGAATTTTACAGATATTGAACTAAAGTTTGGTGTGGTAGTAGCTGAGATTCATTCCCATTACATACTCTGAGTGTTAACAGATCACATGGGCACTTGGCATAAAACTTGCCCTTTTTAAAACAGGTTTTTCTAAAACTCTGCTTTTATAGATTATTTCACAATATGTTGTGTGCATATTAGATCCATTAACCGTTTAAGTAATACGGTAAAAGGTTTTTTTTCTTGAATCCTAAAGGCTAGTTTGATTATGAGCTTTGTGTGTTTTGATGCCAACCCTAAAAAATTTTAATATTTGACTCAACTACAGTTAAAACGTCAAATAATTGTACTTCTGAAAATATGTGTGACAACAAAAAAAAAAGGTGAAAATGTAAAAGAACACGTGTTTGAGTTTTAAAACGGACTGATAAAATGGCGTAATAATCTCCGGTTACATTTTGCACGTGCTTCAGAAGTACATTAGACTTTAGCAAAACTTTAAGTTAGATAAAGTCATACCAGATTGTTAGCGTCTATATTGAGAAATCATTAAAAGTTTAGCTTGCATGAACAGAACTGACCACCCACTAAAAGCTCTCCAGGTGGGAAGTGAAACGTCTTCATCATAGACGTCCATTCGCCTTACATTTATTATTTTTATTTAGTCTGACTTTTAGAGAAATGCACACCATTTCATTCATTATTCTCTTTGTGGTTTTCTGCAGGTGAAGCTGAGTGAGCGTGTACTCTCCACCGAACACGGCCTCCTCATCCGCTCCCTCCAGCAGTCGGACCAGGGTCTTTACTACTGCCTGACCACTGAGAACAGCTTCAAACGCACTGTGGCCAAGATCCGCCTGCATGTGCTGAGCGAGGCCATGGTGAAGGTGCTAACAGACAAACAGCAGTCCCCCTTGGCCTGGGCCAGCTCTTTGCACCCTAAGGTCCTGTTGGAAGCCTTCAGCCCTGCAGAGAGTCTGGCTGTGCAACAGTACTGCAAAGAGAGGAAGGACTTTCAGAAGCTGCAGCACAGACGGCAGCAGCAACAACCACCACTGCTGCCTGGACCCCTCAGGGGGGATTTAGCCAAACTGAAGCCCCTGTTGGACCGGAGGAAGAGCCGAAACAGACGCAATGACCCCCCAGAAGTCTGAAGCAATGGACTTGTACACCTTCCTCTGATCCAATCCATTTCGAATCCTCTACAAACTGCAGTTTTCTTGTTCTTGTTTCAACAGGAAAATGAGAATATTGATTTTGGGAACTTTTTATTCAACACAGTCCCTTTTGTATGCATGTGGGAACACACAAGCAACCACGAGCCGTTTGTTTCCTGTGATAGAAATCAAATGACGTGAACATGTTTTAACCTTCACTAATAAACCGTGATCTCAGCTGATAGTCTACGAGCTAACACCACTTTGGCTACAGCTGTTTGATTCATCCATTCAACCTTTATTTATACAGGTTAGTCTCAGTGAGTGACGAGGACTCATTATCAAGAGATACCTGTTTTAGACAGAGAACATGTAGAGTACAGCCAACAATAATTCAACGAAATGCAATTAAAATCAAATAAAAGACGTTATAAACACAGTCAAATCAAGATGCCATGTAAAACAAGGTAAAATACTAACAACAACAAATTTGCTTTGATATTTCTATTGACATTATCAATTGTTTAAAATCCCATAAAGAGATCAAAGTAGACAGCTTCAGATCTTTTTGCAAAGTGTTACAGGAGCAGAGTAAGAGAAGGCCTTTTTGCCGAGTTCAATTAGCACTGAGGGGACGCTGCAGGTAATGAATCCCTCAGAGTGCACGTCGTAACTGCACTGACAACGTGACATGTGGGAAGAGATACAGTATATGAAGGCAGCAGACCAAGGAGGGATTTATAGATGAAAATTAACCAGTGTGAGAACCTACGTGTAGATACTGATGACTAACTGACCAAGGAGGACAGAGTTCAGTGATGGGTACGGTAGTTACAAGCAGTTATGAATCTTGGCGTGCCATGGTAGACAACATCCAACATCTGCAAGGAGCTGGCAGGGGCGCTCATGTACATAATGTCCCCATAATAGATGGCTGGTAGGAAAGTAGCAGCTACAAGGTGTTTCCTAGTTAAACATGATCTATTTCTGAAAAAGAAACCCAGTTTTAATTTCAGTTTCTTTATCAAGCTTTCAGCATGTGGCTTAAAAGAGAGATGTGCATCAGTTAAAATTCCCATGTGTTTGTAAGAATCTACAAATTCAGTAGGAAGACCATTCGTAGATAAGATAGGAGGAAGGACTGTTGGCACCAACTTCATGTTTGAAAACCGCATCCCTTTGGTTTTATTATCATTTAGCACCAGTTTGAGCTGGAACAAATCTGACTGGATGATGTTGAAAGCAGACTGTAGAAGCTGGGAAACCTTAGCAACTGCGTTAGCTCAGCAATAAACAACTGTATCATCGGCATAGAGATGTAAGGAGGCATCAGGAATGTTTTGACCTACATTATTAATATAAATTTCTGCTTTGAATTCAGAATGAAAAGTGAACCAGCTAGCTAAAAGTTTGAGGAAAAAAAAAGGCAAAGTTTAAAGCATTGCTATGAAGTAGTGGTGATTAAAAATGTACAAAAGAACACACAAATGGCTTTTTGACTGTTTCAGCTTATTTCAATGTGGAAAATATTATTATGTTATAGCATTTTTCGCTAATTTGATTAACGTTTTGGCTGAATAAATATCTGTATTTTGGAGAAACTACATAGCATTTTGTGGGATTATTAAAGTTAATTTTACACAGTCCACAAAAAAATCAAATATACAAAAAGTTGAGTGTGAACTCTAATAACTTTACATAACTTTACTATACTTAAGTAGATAATTGAAGTCTACTTATTTAACGTCAGATGTTTGTAATGTTTAAGAGTTTGCCTTATTGTAATCAAACTGCATTATTCTACAAGTTTTCCTATTTTAATCACAGAGGAATGTTTTACATAATGTAAATTTAAATCATCTTCAGACTGTTCTGGAGTCAGTTTAGTAACTAAACTAGCTTCCATTTTATACCAACCTCTAATGTCAAACAGTGGATTCTGAAACATGATAGTGCCAATTGTTGAATTGTTCACTCACTTTGGCAATGTGGAAATTTGTTTTAACCTAAGTATTTGTCAGGAAAATATTCGGAAGGTTAGACTTGTCAAGAAACTTGTTTTCAAAGCATAACTCCTGTAGATAGATTCTTGTTTGTGTACAGAATATTGTATTTCCTGTCAGTCTTTTAACTTAAATGTGAAAATTATTTCATTGTGTATATAGTTTGAACATTATTCACCATCTGTGACTGTATCTGCGATTCGCAGAGATACAAGGAAACGTTTTCGCTTTGAGAAAAAAACCACTTCCCCACATGTATCAAAACCGTGCAACTATAATGTCTACATGTCATTTCAACCCAGCGTCATTTTATTGTCATGAAATAAATGTATTTATTATTGTCTTAATAGCTTGAATAAAAGTCCAACTGTTCAATGGAAATACAGTTTTTACAGAAACAAAATAGTTAGACAACATTGTTTTTAGGGTATTTTCTCAAAGTAAGGGCCGCCTTCTTGCTTTCAAATTGTGATTCAGTAGAATTATAAAAATCAATGAAAAACTAATTAAACTGTTTTAAGCAAAAAAAGATGGAACCCCTAGAAAAGATATGGGGATGTGTTGAACTAAGGTGTGTCCTGTAATCAGCATCACAGCTGTCTTCAGTCTTGTAAACAGTCATGTTGCCTATTTAAATAGGAAAGGTGGTCATTATGCTGCTTGATATCAAGGTGTGTGCCATGTTGCACATGGAGCCCAGAAAACTATGGACACTTGTCTCAGGCGTTCAGGAAGAAAATGTTTGCTAAGCATTTTGGCGATAAAGGCCATCGCCAAGCAGCTTGATGTTACTGTGACTACAGCGGCATAAATTATAAAGAAGTTTCAGGTTCACAGGACAGGAGACAATGTCCCTGAACTTGACTTCCAGGGGAAAATTGAGGAGAAATGGAACAGACAAATAAAGCAAATGATAACCAAAGAGGGGTGACGCAGTTTGGTGGCACGATGGATCAGTGGTTAGCACTGTTGTCTCACAGCAAGAGGGTTCTGATTCAATCCCCGTTTGGACCTGGGGTCTTGCTGGGTGGAGTTTTTATGTTCTTCTCGTGCTTGTGTGGGTTTTCTCCGGCTACTCCGGTTTCCTCCCACGGAACAAAAACATGCATGTTAGTCTGATTAGTAACTCCAAATTGTCCCTGGGTGTGAGTGAGAGAGTGAATGGCTGTTTGTCTCTGTGTCCCTATGATGGACTGGAGACCTGTCCAGGGTGTCCCCTGCCTCTTGCACAGTGACTGCTGGATATGGGCACCAGTGACCCCCATGACCTGAAAAGGAAGAAGCGGGTAAATATGGATGGATAACCAAAGAGCTCAGAGCAACTTCCAAAGAGATTAGAGGAGAACTCGGAGGTCAAGGTGCATCTCTCTTTCTCTCTCTCTCTCACTCTGTGTGTGTGTGTTCACACCATTTGAAGTTGTTTAAGCCAAAGTGGACTTCTTGGACCGAGAAGCTTTTTGGCAACATGTCACATCAGTTTTTATGTTCTGACCCAAAAATGAACTACAAGAATATCGAGCCAAGTGAAGTGTGCTGCTCAGACTCAGAAAGCTGGGTCTCAGTGGCAGGTTATGGAGCATCTAAAAGGATAATGACCCAAAACATACAGTGCATTTAAAGCTCCAAGAATAGTTAGGAATAAAACACTGGGCTATTCTGGAGCTTCCTTCTGAGCCTTGATTTTAATCGTGTTGAGCATCTGTGGAAAGATTTGAAACATGCAGTATGGAGAAAACACCTTAACCTGGGACAACTGGAGCAGTATCCCCAGGAGGAGTGGACTCAAGTACCTGTGGACAGGTGTAGAAGTGTCAAATCCCTCTTTGCTGTGCTTCACCTCTGGTTTTGATACTGCTTTTGGTAGACTTAACTGTTTTGCCAGTTGTAGGGGTGATTCACAATAACTCCAATAGGTTGTTTTAACCCAAACAATTGCTTTGGATGAACAAATTGTGGCTTTGCCACAGATTGAAGCGCCACCAAGGCTTAGAGATGGTTTCAGCTACAATTGACTAAAAGTGACTTTTACCCCTAAAGGATGGAACAATGACACAAAAAAAAAATCTAATGAAACATCAACTAGTCATAGACAATTTCTTCTCATTGGGCATTTTCATGCATCCAAAAACGAGCAACACTTGAACTAAAGTTATGACAGATGGATTAATACTATAACTAAATGGACCACTTGTCCCATCCTAATTTATTTATTCAAACAGTTGGATGCGGTATTAGCTGTGTGATTAAGAGTTGATTCTTTGCCGCCAACAAGACAAGAACAGAAGAGCGTGTCAATTGTTGTTGGCATTGGACTTTTTGGACATTGGACTTAGACTCTTCAAAAGTAAAGCGAAGATCCCCACATGCTGCAGAAATTTACATTTTGCATCAGCATTGACATTCTGACGTGCATTTACTGCTAAAATTACTTTTTTCACTCTGATACAAAGGAGGAACAATCTGAAAGAAGGAGCCAGGCGTGATGGAAAAAGTCCTTTTTTCTGATTTTATTTATTTTGAAGACACCAGTTCAGCAAAAGATATGAACAGTTGCACAATACTATATTCTTGTGTGTGTGTGTGTGTGTGTGTGTGTGTGTTTCTGTCACAGGATGTCAAACAGAGCCTTTTTTTCTCCTCTCAGAGATTTAAAGGATTACCTGACAGTTGAAAGGAGTTGCACTCCCTCAAGAAATCCCTGATTGAGTTCATGTTACAGTGTTTGAACTTAAATTTTAAACTTGGCAAAGAAGCTCAGCTCTAGAGCGTTCAAAAATAAATCACAGTACTCCCCGCTCTCGGCTTAAACGGGAGGTCTGACAATATAAATAACACTGAAATTACAAAAAAATAATAGTGCAAGTCTCTATGGAAAGGCTTAGCAGCTTCACTGCACTGTGCTCTTACACGTCACAAACAGATACGTGATTATAATCAATGAATAAGCTTGCTTTTGTTGCTTTTCTCTTTCCGCTTCACCACGCAGTAGGAGACGAGACACAGGACAAAGATGGCGATACCCACGCCCAGCAGTGCCTGCTGTGCAATCTCCAATATCTGGATACGAGACATGAGCTCTTTCTTAAACATGTCGGCGGTTTCATCATCCAGCATGGCCGTCTGTGTCGAGACAGAAGAGAGAAAAATGTTGATTGATGTCTGATTTCTACAACTCGTGACGGCTTTCTTCTTTCGTTTCTTACCTCATTAAGCCAAACAAGAGGAAATAAGGTATAGTCTTTGACTTTCTTGAGCACCCTGCAAGAAAAGAGCTCATTAGTGTGGAATATCATCTCAGACTTTCATTTGATGTGTTTGACGCCTGTTTTAAATAAGATTATATAAAAATACACTGTGAAACTTTTAAAACTAATATACATTTTTGGAGCCCGTATTTTGCTTCGTTGCCATCTATTTTAGGCTTTTTATACTTTGTTGTTTAAACATTCTTTTTCTATATTATATATTCAATATGAAACAAACTAAAGTGATCTACACTGACATAAAATGCTTAAAATTTCTTTATTATACATAATAGGTTTGAGAAGTATGAACTATGAGTTAGAACTACGGTAAATCCAACTACCGTATTTTTCGTCCTATAAGGCGCACTTAAAATATTTTAATATTCTCTAATATTGACAGTGAGCCTTATAATCTGGTGCGCCTTATGTATTAATTCTGGTTGTGCTTACGGACCTCAAACTGATTTTATGTGGTTATTGTGATTGAGTTGAATAAAGTTTGACTGTTTTGTTTCGCTTAATGCACCTTATAGTCTGAAAAACACGGTAATCAAACAATCATAGCATCTTATCTATGTTTTCCTTAGAAAATAACAAAGACTATACTACTTTAAATTTCACTTTTGTATTTCTTTACTTCATAATGAATTCTTCTGTGTCATTGTTAGTTTGAATTGGCGAATTGATTTGTGTTCATCTAGTGTTTTATAATCTCTTGATGTCCTCAAAATCTTTGTTTCAAGCTCCTTCTTTACCACCTGTTTCCCATTATTAATCAGCACGTCTGTTTACACTGATCAGTCGCCTCTTTCGGTACACATTCTTGTTTTTTTTTTGTTTTTTTTAGTTAGACCTCTTGTTAACTTGTGTACATCTTGTTAGTCTCACCTGTTGGTGACTCAGTGTTGCAAGAAATAATGCCAAATTTCAGTCGCAGTGAGGATTTGCGACCCAGCGAGCAGCAAGCCACATGGTCATGTTTTGCACAAAAATGAAGGTCCACTATAACTGTGTGTACAGTTTGCAAATCTACAGCTCCAGTTCTTTTGATTTTACGGAAACTGAATTGGTAAGGATATCAAACATATGTTTTTGGAACATGCGCAAAAATTCAAGTCACGAAACTATTAGCCTCTGCAGTTCATTCAAGAAAATTGATGGCTTCTTTCAGCTGCCTCCTTCTACGGTGGTTGCCTAGTGAATGAACTGACGTGGAAGATTTGGCAATTGTTTTATGCCAGATGCCCACCTGGGCTCGAACCAGCAACCTCGGGATTACAAGACCACATAAACCACCAAGCTACCGCAGTCCCAGTTAATAAAACTGATAAGCCCACAAATGTTTTAGATATTTTGAGGATTTTCTTGCAAATGGCAACAGCCTCAGCCCAGTGCCCAGTGAGATACTGGCTTCAAAATGTCAGGTTTGTTTCTCTCTTATGTTTGGGGCGACTGTGGCTGAGTGGTTAGAGCAGTCGTCCTACAATGCAAGAGTTGGGGGTTCAAATCCACCATCAGTCACATGCTGAAGTGTCCCTGGGCAAGACACTGAACCCCTCATTGCCTCCGATGTGTGTCCAGTCGGTGAATGAATGTGATAAAACACAGATTAGTCTCTTTAGAATGATTTGTTCAATGAGTTTGTAGAGTTATAGTAGAGTGTATGAATGGGTTAATGAGGACACAGATTGTAGTGTAAAGCACTTTGAGTGTCATGATAAGATAGAACAGTCCATTTACAATGTGTTTACTTATTATTAACTATACGTGACCCCCTCCACCCTATTTTGTTCTTTGAAGTTATATTTGTTTCAAGGAATGCTAGGGACTCCAATTTAAAATTATACACATACAAATTTTACTTTATAGTTTTGTATATCTTTCATGGGTTTGTTTTCATGGACTGCGTCAATCATCCACAAATTTAAGGTATTTGATATAAGATTGTGTACAAGTGTAATTATTGATGTATTGTCAAGAATAACCTTCAACGGAAATAAAGTTGTTTTTTATTTATTGGTATTTATAAAGTGGACTTTAATAGTAAGCAGATTGATTTGGTTTTTAGGGTTATTGTGCTACTCTTTGGTTGGATATACATTTCTAAAGAGACAAAACGGGGAATTTTGTTGCTGCTAATTCCTGATGCTAGTTTGGTGTGAAAATAACAAAATCATTTCTGTTAGTTAATTGGTCCAAAATGAAGAAGTTGAAAGTTTCTATTTTTCTTGATGTTGTTTGTTTGTTTTGCTTTTTGGACATGCCAAAGTAGACAACAGGCATTATTCAAATGTGTTTTACAGAGATGCTGTGATGTAAAAGGAATTCAAACTGAGTTGGCGCCTGTTCATGCTTCATACAAAACTCATATAAAAGCATGACTTGCCATCTTTAAAACTTAAAAATATGGAAAAGGTGGCACTGCAACTCACGTGATGACCTTTGATGGTCCATACATCATATTCACTTGAATTCGTTTGGCAAAATTCAGAGTAAATCCAGTGGTCTGGCGGGAAAAACATTATAAAGAAATTAGCATGCTCAAGTTAGCTGTGACACTCAAAAAGTAATTTACAGTAAGTGCTCTTACAGGTTCTATATCCAGAAATGTTTTATGGTGCTCCACATGAGGGTTGAGGCCCAGCACGTCCTCCCTCAGTGACTGACTGCCGTGCAGGAAGTGAGGCAGAGACATGAAAATGGGTCTTCCTGTTCAGAAGTACAAAAGAAGAAAGAAAAATGTCAGGCGCCGTATGACCAGAGTGATGAAACAGTAGTGAGACACCCTGACTTTTAGAGTTTGGATAGATGACTGACCGTCTTGACAGGTGCTGAGGCCCAGGACTCCGGCCAAGGTGCAGTTCTTAGTGCTCTTCATGTCCGAACAGAAACATTTGTTGTCTGGGTTAACGGTCGGGGAGGCCAGGGTGGAATCCAGGAGGGAATAACGGTATACTTTAATCCCTTTCAGATCCATTGTCTGCTCATAGCTGGCTGATACAGACCTGAAAGCAAAAGTAAATAAATAAAAGATAATCACACATGTATTAAAATAAGTTTTAATGGTGGTTTAACTGGTGGTTAGCAACAGGAAAAAGTATTGCATGTAAATAAAGTTTCATCACCTGCAGATGTCTGAATTGAAGAAATACAGGGGTTTCTTCTTGTCCACAAAAGGAGCAAAAGAGGAAGCATCTGACAAAAAAAATAAAAAAATGACTGAGATTATCATTAGAAACCACAACAGATATTAAGGTTAAGAATTAGGAGTTGTTGAACGTTCTTTTCCTTGAATAAACCTTACCTGTCCCATTGATCATGTCACAATAAGGGTCGTTCCAAAACTGTAAGCTCCTGTGGCACAAAGCAGAACGTTTTAAATTTTTAACAATTGAACTTAAAAGCCACGAGTAAGAGAAATATTCTAACTTATACAGTAGTTACAGTTTTCAACTTTAGACCCTGCTGCTCTTAAATAGACTCACTTGCTTCCTTTCCAGCTGTCAATCATTCCAACTTTGGAGACGTCACCTTTCCCAGTGTAGATGGTGTAGATGCCATCAAATGTGTTGTTGTACTGGGAAAAATGATTGCATTAGAAACATTTATCGAATACTACTACAACCCCAATTCCAAAAAAGTTGGGTTTACTATGTGCCATTGTGAACAAAATATGAGATTCTCTATTTGTTTTGCAGATTCTGTTCCAATTTACATTTTACACACTGTCCCAACATTTTCAAAACTGTGGCTTATTTGCATTTTTGTTCCACATTTCTTGTGTTTGCTTACATCCAAAAAGAGTCCAACATCTTCTTTGAGCATGGGGTCCTTGTAGCCCCAAAGCAGTTCCTTCACTGTGCGGTAGTGGAACAAGGAGGAGTTGGAGTCCCTTATCATTTTCTCCAAAACTCCATGCAACGGTGTTGGAACCAGTGAGTAAGCTCCCTGAAAAGTAGGAAAAAGAAATATGTCTTCCCTGATCCGTGTTTCTGGATAAACATCTTGGTTATACAATGCCGCTCCATGACGACAAGTGCAAAGCTGTTGATGTAGCTACCGCCTGAGGAGATAAAGCTGAAAATAATTGTCTTTTATGGCTGTGAAACGCCGCTGCTAGAGGCAGAGGCCCTTGCTTGTCTTGTGTACTCTTTTTGTTTGAATGCTGTCAAAGTTTAAAGAGACTGAGCACGTTCAGTTCTGTTTATGAGGGCAAAAATAAACTGCCTTGTTGAGTTAAGACCTATGAGTCACTCCTCATTTTCCTTCTCTAACGCAGGAAGTATGAACAAATGTCACCTAGAGCTGACTATTAAACCTCAGTGCTATTTTTATACGTTCATAACCCAAGCTAAGGTTTGTGATATTTATTGGGCTTGATTGGAGGGATTAAAATAATATATACGCAGTTTCGCTAGCCGGTGGTTTTATGCCATGAAGGTATGAAATACAAACCTAACGTCTGACTAGTGTATCGTAGGAGATTAATAAATCAAGGCCAAGCTGAGAAACACAGAACAAAGATGAATTTAAAGTGATTTTAGTGCATGTGTGTGCATGGATTTTTGATTCACGGTATGAATCACTGAAGCAGAAAGGAAGAACTTGGTTGACATCTACAACTGAGTATCTTTTTAAGTCAAACTGGTTCGAGACGGTTGCCCCAATTTAGAAAGTTCATTAAACTCTAAAACAACTATATTTCAATCTATCGTACAGATATTGAACTAAATTATGCTGTGGTAGTGGCTGAGCACTGTCCCCAACACATACTTAGAGCAAAAGTCATTGTGGGAAAAAATATCTCATGAACCACTGAAGAGATTTCAATGAAATCCTGAAACAAGAATTACTGGCAGTCAATCCAATTCTAAATGATGGCCACAACTATCTGACTTGAGTCTGTAAAAATGGCTATACCTCTGTGAATTTTACAAACATTGAGCAACAATGTGGCATGATAGTAGCTGAAAGTCTTTCTCAACGTATACTCCAAGCTTGAAGAGATCACTTGAGATGTTGCAACGCTGAATGAGATTTGGCACGATGTTGCTTTTTAAATGTTTGACACCATAGCTAAAATTATTGCATGAAAGACAGTGGGAAAAGTGAATTTCAGCAAAGAAGGTTAAGTTTTTAAATATATGATTAAATGTTACTCTCTGTTAAACGTGTTGTTCTTAGGTAAATAAAAATGCTATGCATTAATGTACATGCTTTAATAGCGTGTTGTAGATCTGCATATAAGGGTGAAAATGTTAAAAAGAAAGAGGCAAATATTTGAGTGGCGTCATGGCACTGGTGCCAGATGCATGTTTTATGGATCAGTGTTTACACCCATGATCTTATTAGTCTTGCTGAAGGTGAAGCTGAAGGCTGTAGAAACGTTGTACTCCCATAAGGCTTTTCAGTCAAAACACAGCCCCACTCTCATGCATGTAGCGTATTTTACGGCATATAAGTTTCAGGTTTTTTGCATACATTAGCATGCCAGCAACTTACACAGCGAAGTGATATATTTGGTTTTTTTCCCCATATTTATAATCCAATTTTTGGCTGAGATCTGACTATTTCATTCATTCTGACATGGAAAATATTGAGCACTACCATTTTAAGCCACTAGAGGGCCCTTGACTAATATGGCAAGCCAAGTGTCTCATTAATAGGTAAAACTGGCTATTAATGAGACACATGGCTTGCCATACCAAGCCACCTTCGTCTCGCTCCGGAACTCATGGAGCAAACATCAAATCAGCTGCATTTTGCCGCGCCACGCAGACGAAATGCAGCTGATTTGATTATTAAAGTGCATTTATTAAGGAAAAGTTCAACTGAGACACACTTTACAATAATGATGAAAAAAATATATTGTTTTTAAGTGTTAATCTTGTTAAATTCTTGTTAAAGTCCTCCCGTGCACGATCCCATGGCTGTCTTTTGGCAGCCAATCGATTTTTGTCACAACACCGGCCCACATTTCTGGATTGTCAGTGGTGACGCATATTAGAAGCGACTTATACAGAGAAGCGACTTATTTGTGGATTTTTTCACTTTATTATACATGTTTGGACTGATGCGACTTACAGGGCGGTGCAACGTGTACGGCAGAAAACACGGTATAGGCTTTATCATGTTTTCTCAGTGGAACCACAATTCACAGAACAAATGTCATGTTCAATTAAATAAAACCTAAACTTGGTGAGTAAAACCATAAGGTATAAGGAAAAGTCTAACATGGTTGAGTCAGGTCCTCTGGACAGGTTCGTTGTTGAAACGTTTTGTCTTTTTACCCAAAATACTTTTTCATCCAGAGGAGCTGCAAATAAACTTAAGGGCCGAACATACTCCAGCCAAAGTGGCAAAATCGGCTCTTATTGTCAGTGTTGCATTATAAAAATTGTCTCATTTTGTTTGCAGAGCAGCTTCACCTGCCCCTTCTCGACACAAGGCCTTAGACAAACTTTTTCTCACGGACGTATGTGCCAGGTATTGTGTGATTGGTCAGAAGTTTGTGGGCGTGTTCGTCAATATGTAAATGCACTCGGACATTCAACTGTACGACTATTCAAACACACTAAATTGGTCAAATGATCAAAAACTCTTGGATGGAGATCATTCGGACGTTGTGTATGGAGGAGTATGTTTGCTGAAAAGTGTGATGATCTCTTCATGATAGATTTGTGGCCAAACGGCAGATGTAGGGACAAAAGGGAGACTGTAGCGGGAAGAAACCTGTGCAGTGAAGTGTACTGCAGCGGGAGGGGTTTTGCAAGAGCTATGCATCTATGTCTAGTGGACCATGAAAGGCGTGTAGGAAAATGAACATCCTACAACCACGTGACCACGAGTCGACTGTTCGGCTTTGGATGGAGTATGTCGTGCCCTTCAGTCTTATAACGTAACATTCATAACATCCATGCTCGTTACTGCAATGCGCTTCTGTTTGGAATCAGTCAGACCTCCGTTGCACGACTATAATCGGTCCAAAATACTGCAGCCCAATTTTTAACCAGTACAGGCAAAAGGGAGCACATTACACCAGTTTTGGCCTCACTGCACTGGCTCCCGGTTCACTTTCGAATTCAGTTCAAAATCCTTTTGTACATTTTAAATCACTCAACAGTTCTGCCCCCTCTTATCTCACTGATCTGCTGCAGCCATATGTCCCATAGCGCTCTCAGAGGTCAGTTTTGACACTGTGTGATTTGTTTTTAACCCATCTGTATTATAGCCAATTAGTTATTATCTTCTTCCGTTCATATCTATATTTTTATTTTACTTTATTTTATATTTTGCTATGTGCTTTGCTTGTTTGCTCTTCTGTACAGCACTTTGGTTGGCCTTGTTGCTGTTTTAAGTGATCTATAAATAAAGTGGTACGGTACGGTATGGTACAGTACAGTACGGTACAGTATGGTATGGTATAATCAATGCCTTCTCGTAGTGGATCAACCAGTTTGCTGTTGACAGCCAAAACCAGTTGTTCACATGCAAAAGGAAGACCATCAGCCTAACGACTGATCGTTAGTGCCCTGATGGCCACTTGCTATTCACAGAGGACTGAGTGTTATTAGCAATAACAGCATTGTAAGAGGCTGACAGTTGAACATGGAGGCCTTCGCCCCATTTAACAATGGATGAGTTCTCTTCACAAAGACGGCTTCCTCACTCCTCTCTCAAACCATCGTTCCGCTCTATCCAGGATGTGAACATCTTCATCCCTAAACGAGTGATGGCGCTCTTGCAGACAGAATGTTTACAGTGCACAACATAAAAATGGTCTTAAAGCAAAGCTTGGAACCAGATCCATCAATCTCACCCACCGCCCATTGAGAAATGTTAGCTCGTATCTGTCAGTGTGCATGCTCATATGTCTGTGAGATTAGCTAAGGATCTCTAACAACTGGACAGATTTGATATGACTTTCTGAAAATAATTGAAGAAGTGGAAGTACATCTACAACTGATTGACTGTGCTGCTTGTTCAGGCCAGTTATATTTGCACTGATTGCATCGTATTTACTAATGTGGCTGAATGGAAATCAAATCCCGATATTTAGTAAAATTTCATGGGAAGCTTGCTGAGGTTATTAAAGAAACTCAAGTTATGATCCATGGCGATAACAAACTTTATCTCAGCTTTGTTTAAAAATCAAAATCCTCCTACTAAATACATTTGCTATCTGGACTTGTCCCCAACCCGAATGCTGGAATCATTACTGCTCCAAAGTGACTAAGAAACAAGAACAATTAATACTTTTTCTGTAGTTTTCCCAGCTTTCTTTAAAGAAGCCAAAAGAATGAATACATAAACTTGTTTTTTTTTTATATATATTTGATTTTCTTTTTTCAAACAAGCTGTCGCAAACCATAAGAGTCAAAAACCGCCCCTAAAATGAGCGTTCGCTGACCGAAACCACGAGGCTGTAAGCCAGCACAGCTTGCTTTGGTTGATGTTTGGAACAGATTTTTAATCAAAGACGCATTAGCCGCAGAGCTTAAAGTCAGGAGCAACAGCACACTTACAGCCAACGCCAGGTTGAGCGAGGTAATCAGGTCTTCCTCTGTCCCCACCGACATGGACGGATCGAAGATGGCACCAAAAGGCAGCAGGAAGGACACAGTTTGATTGGGGTAAAATGTGATGTTGTCTTTGGCAAGATATCTTGTCCTGAACGGCAAAAACAGGCTGTGTGTAAAATGACTTAAACAGAAGTGGGAAATCTGTTTTTCTTACATGTGAGCTTTAAAAAGAGGCGAATAAATGAACCTCACCTGTATGTGTAAGGTCCTTTTTCCACCACTGCTGGTTTTGCCCCATATTGCAAGACCTCCAGTGGATTTTTCAAGTCAAAGAACCAGAACTGCCTGTACACCGTTATCCCTGCAGCCGTCCATGTGTCATAAGCCGTCGTTCCTGGCTCAATGACGACTTCCTAAAGCCAGCAGACAAACAGACAAGCTATTTTTAACATGCAAGACTGTCAGCAGGCCAGCAGCCCTCGTGACACGTGGAAACAAAAAAGGTGGATGCTCTATTAGAAAAGACGGACTTTACAGCAAGTCGCTGCAATCTCTGCTGAAAAATGTCTTCTGAAAGGATCACAGATGGTGATCTTTCCATGGAGCCGCTGTGTAGGAATTCAATTTGGTTTTCCGCACAAGAAGCGTGTTTACAATCTGAAGCAGCTTTTTAAAAACCCGTCTCTCATTTCACCTGATTCACCTTGATATCTGCTTTCATACACACACACACACTGACATGCTCTGTCACTACCCGCACTTTCAAGCCAGGCTGAAAGTGAGACCCTTACCTTGTGCACTGTCCCCTGGATGATGCTGTTGCCCACAGGGATCAGGATGCCACCCAGGATTGCCACCGCAGCCCCAAACACAGCTCCAGCTATGAGCCCGCACCTTTTGTTACAGCATCCCATGGTGGTGTACGTTTCCCTCCTTCCTGTGTGTCTGTCTGCCTGTTCTCCCTCAGTCTCTGTGCTCGTGGTGCGTGCTGCAGCTTGTTTGTGTCGCAGCAGCAGCACGGGCAGGCTGTACCATCAGAGGAGCTGATGGAGCAGCTGAGGCCAGGTAAAGGTGCACACACCCTTGGCTGTGGCCCAACTTTACACAATCTCAAGGTGGGTTTAAGGGTCAGGCGAGAGGCGTCACGTCTGGTATCAGCGAGGACTCTAACACCAGGTGATAACTGGGGAGAAAGGTTCGAAGAGAAGTGCATCTTAGAACCAATGGGACTCCAGTTTGATCAATGGAGTTTTATTTTGTTGTTTGAGCGAAAGAATATTGCATTGAAAAAGTCTGTTTGTTTTTTTTTTTCTGCATCTTTTTTTTTTTCCAGTGTGTATTTTGTCATTTTAGTCTTCTAATCTATTGCTTGTGTTTAAAACAGTCGTGCATGCAAAAACAAAGTTTTAAATTTGACTTTCATTTTGCATTAAAAGGGTCTTATGAGGACTTGAAGTTTTGGTTGATTTGTCTTTTTATTTTCTTTGTGCGTGTTTTCACAGAGTTTATCATTAATCTTTTCAATGGTTGAATGTTTTTTTTTTTTAAATCTTGATAAGCGGAGATATAATTCATGTGGTTCAACTGTACTTTACTGGCCACTATCTCCTCCCATAGACGTGAACTCTTTGGTAAATGGAACATTACGTAATAGTAAAGAAAATGAAATTTTGTTTAGTAAGCATATAACTCATTGACAGATGAGTTATATAAAATGTCAAAGGATATTCCAGCACTGTGTGTGTGTATATATATATATATATATATATATATATATATATAGCAAATCTGTGCAGGACATCAGACATATCAAACAACTGAAGACATTTTTGAAATTAGGTATCGGGTAGATGTGTTCACTCATGACCTGGCATGTGAATGTCAATGAGATATGGAAAGAATAAAAAGTTGCTTCAAAGCAAAAAAAATAAAAAACAGCTGACAGGATGAGGTTTAAATAAATAAGCATTGTAAAAAATTACACTGCAGTATTCTTAGAAAAACTTCATTGTTGTTTTTTTCAAAACATAATGTGATTAAAATTGAGTCATTGCAGACATTAAAAAGCAAATAACACAGTTTGGTGCCAGAAAACTTACAAATCTTGATAAATTGAATGTAAATAAATCACAACTGGGTTTTTCCACTGTTTTCAAAGCAAATTTGTAATTTTAACATACGCTCTTTTGAAAAACCAAAAGCCTTTGAGTGCACAGGCTCACAATGATTGCACAATATTATAAATCTTGAAATGTGCAATATCCTTGTTTACAAGTGTAATGACTACATCAGTAGCAGTAGGGAACCCTCACAGCCTTCTATGCCTTCAGAGAAGTCTCATAAATTCAGCATATATAAAATGTGACAATTATATTTTATTTTAATATTTATTATTTATAAAATATATATTTTAAATGTAGTCTTTTAATATTCTGCTAACCATGACAAAAGTCTGAAAAATCCTCGGCCACCCTATGGCCACCGCTTGCATAAAAGTCTAGCTGCACCACTGCTGTAACGCTGTATGCAGCTGGTCCAGTAGCTACTTTTAAATTCCAGTTTATTACTGGAGAGATTCACAACAGTTTCTGCTTTGTGTTCTTTACACAATGTAGCTGAGATCTATTTAAACAAACCACCTTGTTAAACAACATAAATCTCTTCTGACTGACTTTATTGTTTGCATTGTAATCGAAGCTTCAGCTGTGCAGCAAAACTTCCCTTTTCTTTGCTGTAATGTTAACAAGCTACCATTGTGTTCACAACTTTCCACTCCCCCACACAGATTTTTTTTTCTTTTCTTTCCAGCACTCTGAATTCATTGAAATAATTGGTGTAAATGAGTTTTTGCTACTATTTTGTCACTTGTTTTGCCGCTTCTGTACTGGTTTTCAGTCTGAAAACGTGGTTTCTGACACTGTTCCTGGAGCAGAGCTTTGATCTTTGTTTAATTTTTACTCTGCACAAAAAAAGTTTGACCTTGTCTCCTGCCTCCTTCAGATTATCTCCAGGCTTTGCTGCTCTCGTGTCTACACCTTCAAGTTTTGAAATGCACAGGAAATGTTGCAAAACTCATAGAAAAAAAATTCACGGAATGGAGCAAAGCTGTGTGCTTCAAAACAAGAGATACAATAACCTGTAATCCTTAAGGTTTTTTTTTATTGTTTCTTACTTTAGCAAATAAGAATAACTTATTTAAAGTGTCACCTTAAACTAAATCTGCTTGGCCAAAGGTTGCTCTATTTGCACAGGAAGCCTGCTACAATGACTGATATCTCCACTAGAGGGCAGCACCACCATTCCATCGCCACAACCAAGCTTTTATCACTAATGTTTACATAGTGAATGTTGCAATATGAACTGTGAAATTTCCAGTTATAATGCCCTCAAATCAAACAAATACAAGTCTTGTTGGCAGACTTAGACTGAAACACCTTGATAGATTGCTGATATAGTGTTTATCAGTTCTTTTTAGCTCTTTTTTTTTTGTTTGTTCCCATCAAGGCCTGAGTTGATATTTGTAAAAACAGTCATAAATAATCCATTAAAATAATTATGCAAGTGCAGTTGAGTGCATTGTAGCTTTTTGTGAGTCACTAATTTGTGTTTCAACAAAGCTTAGCAATATATTTATTCAAACAAAAGGCAGATTTGTGTAGCATACTACAACGTTTATATAAATTCTGTTAAAATAGATTTAATCAGTATCTAATCATTTCTGCATGCGTGCACCCACAAGTTGAATTATTGATTTAAAATTTTACAAACAAATGCCTCTGTTATATTATTTTTCTTGGTTGCTTAATCTGTGATTATCTATGTAAAATAAATGACAAGTTTTTTTTTTTGTTTTTTTTTTTGCATGCTGTGTTTCTATTTCCTGCATTTCTGGAGTAGATGAACAAAACAGAAACACTCAGCCAGCAAAACATTCAAATGGAAAGGTCAATGTTCCATATTTACATCTAGTTTACTGTCATTAAGCCAAAGAAATGCAGAAAAAGCCAGGGACAAAATGTTTACATCACAAGCATCTGGGTGGAAACATTTTTAGTATCATCTTAAAACTGAAATGTTGACTTTGAAATTGTACACAACTTGGTCTTACAGGCTAAATGATTTAAATCATAAATAATGGCTCTTTGATGCTGGTTAAATGTGTGGTTCCCATGGGAGCAATTAGTCAAACAGCTCACGTGATTACAGAAAAATTGTAATAATGTATGTTCTCTGTAATAGGTTATATATTATATATATTATTTTAAACCTTCATTAATGTTTTTATAACAAATAAATACAATGTTTAGATTAGCCTTAAAAAACATTGTCTTGTAATTTAATGTGCACTGTTGGTGTACAGCACGAAACTGCTATCAGTTTGTAGGAGTTTCCGGTTACGTCGTTTGACTTCAAAATAAAAGTATCAGAATAACGTAGTTCAGAAAAAGGGTTGTAAGCTCTTTCCATCGGAGAAATTCACTCAAATTACTCGAAGAAAATCAACAGTTGATTAAAAATAATGATACACAACGATGCAAGCCTGAAACCTTTAAATAACCGAATTATGTTGCTCGCAAAATCCTATTAAAGTACAATTAAAATCAGGTTCTTTACTATTTTTTTTCTATATTTTTGATTTACTTCATTTTGTATATTGGTTCGTGTGTTGTCTGTTCTGTCTGTACAGCACTTTGGTTGGCCTTGTAGCTGTTTTAAGTGCTCTATGAATAAAATGGTATGGTAGGTTTGTTCACTAATAAAAGTGAAATTTCTAAAGCTCACATTACTGTATTACGAAAACGTAAGCATTTACGGAGGACATTTAAATATGTTTATCATAAACATATTTAAATGTTTCCATATTTAACCTGACTTTTTTTATTCTGAAGAGTTCAACCGGAAGTAGATTGTACTTCCGCCTGCAGAGCACATCTGCTCTGGAGGCGCAGCTTCCTCACGTTAGCAGTCGCTGCCGTAGCGGATGGACGCGCGCGAGCGGAAGAGATATCACCAAGGAATTGTTTTATTCAACAATTAGCTTTCCTCTTTTTTTGTTGTCTTTTTTTTTTTTTTTTTTTTGGATGTAACTAAGGATTTTTAAAGTCGAGCACGTTTCACCCGAGTGAACTAACCCAAGAGTTTTTTTTGTTTTCACAAGTCGACTCGCTTCCCGTTCTTCTTCCCCACGAGATCGATAGCCCGTCGTATGAAAAAGGGCGTGTGTGCTCGGGGGGGGACGGTAGTTTAAAACATTTCATGTGGGTATTTATGGTGTTTTAGAGCTCTTTTTTTTTTTTTAAACAAAAACAAAAAAAAAAAACACCATCTGGACCTGAAGGACGCGGTGGAGGATGGGGTGCACGTTGAGTACCGAGGACAAGGCGGCGGTGGAGCGCAGCAAAATGATCGACAGGAACCTGCGGGACGACGGGGAGAAGGCGTCCAGGGAGGTCAAGCTGCTGCTGCTCGGTAAGGAAGCGACGCTGGGAGGACTCGGTCCAACTTCCACGTAGAAGAAAACACAGTGAAGTTAGCTAATTGAACGTTGAATGCTCGCTCCTCTCGAGCGAGAGACGGAAGAGTTGACAGAACTGTTTCACCCTCCATTCTTTTCAGTGCAGCTACACCCATTAGCCTTCACACTGAATCACTTTGTATTGACTGAATCCTTTCAACAGTGGCACATTTCCTCATGTCTGCTTCAGTGCAGTGAAAAAAGCAGGGCCCTCAGCTCATTAGTGGCCCAGGCCTGACTGAAAAACTCTGCTGCCTCCACTCATTTCAGCTTGCTTCACTTGCCACACAAAGCCCAGCTTCCATGGTTCATTCACCCTCCTCCTTTACATAATTGTTCAGTTTTTGTTTTTTTAATGTGCTGCCTGGTTTGCTTTCATTCCTGCCAAAAGAAAATGGCATCTTGTGCAACTCAATTGCAGCTATGAAGTAGTTGGATTCAACTTGAGTTTAGCTAAAAAGCCACATAAACATGAGCATTTACCAGATTATTAAACCTGGATAAATAAGGTTGCACCCTTTCATGACTCCCAGCAGTAGCTCATTTTGACTCCCTCTCTGTGAATCCAAACAATTTTCAAATGCTTTTATAGCAACTTATTGTCTGGGAACCCACCAAGCTTGAGCCTGTTATTTCTGGCAAACTGATCCATCAAATTAACCTCGTGGATGTTCATTAGGTGTGCCACACCCTTCGCACTCCCTTGCATGTCAGTATTATAATTTGCTGCATTCTTTGCTTGCATTTCTTTTTAAATTGACTATTTCCTAAACAACATAGCATGTGAACTATTTGCATTTTAAGGCTGAGTACCGTATTTTTCGGACTATAAGGCGCAATATCGATGAACGGGTCTGTTTTCATACATAAGTCAGTTTCTTTGTCATTCGCACCACATACATGTGGTGGAATGAAATTTTGTACGCAGGGTCCCAGTTACATCCAACAATAAAATCTAAAAGGAAAAACAGTAATAAGATGTAAGATATGAACTAAGAAAAAACTTTTAACTGAAAATATGCTAAGCACTAATAGCATAAAAACAATATGCCGAAGGTGCACTGGATTATAAGGTGCATTAAGTGAAACAAAACAGTCATATAAGTCACACTTTATGCGACTCATTCACAATAACTCAACATTGTTCAGTTGCACCACATAAAATCAGTTCAAGGTCAGTAAGCACAGCCATGATTAGTATGGTACACTAGATTATAAGGCTCACCGTCCATTTTTGAGAAAATTAAAGGATTTTAAGTGCGCCTTATAGTCCGAAAAATACTTTTGTTTTTTCTACAGAAATACGGTGTGAATGATGACGAGGGTTAGCATTAAAATAAACCAAACCGTAATTAAAAGCTACAATAAGCAAAACTCTAGTCAATAGCAAAAAAAAAGCCAAACATAAGCTAAAAGGTTTAAAGTGCTAGCTGAAAGTAGGCCTGTCACAAAAACAAATTTTGCTGGGCAATGAATTGTCTCAGAAATTATTGCGATAAACGATAATATTGTTTGAAATTTAACAATAATTTTTCAAATTTGACAAGAAATGTCGATTTGTTTGGGGTGTAGTACCTTTTTTGACCACTAGATGTATACGACTGTTTGAACCAAAGGATGGATGGTTAAGCAGCGTGTCTCTTTAAAATGGGAGGGAGGGCCCTTGACATGACATGGTGACATGGCGGACGCTCGGTGATTTGTGCTCTTTAACACAAAGCTTTTAATTTAAAAAAAATCAACAAACAAATTCTCAGCTTCTTTTTACAAAATTTTTACAAAAGTATAAAAGGTAAAAAAATATATATTAGCTGTCATCGCTTGAATCAGCTGGACATGTTGATATACGAATTGCCAAATTAGCGCAGAGTATGCAGAGACAGTTGTTTTGCAACAAAAATAATGACATGCGGGGGAAACTTTTCCATGAGACGGATAAAACCATGAGCTTTGGGCAGTTGTTGACATGCACACATGAAATATGGGTCACCAGGACACAAAAAAGTGAGTTCTGTAGTAGATGCAGGTAAAAACGCTAGACAGGCCTCATAATAAGAGCTCTTAACACCTTTAATTGTGAGCCAGTGTAACATAAATAACAACAAACAGCAAAGCATCACTGTGGGTAGTTTAAATCCCACATACATGCGATAGAGCAGTTACCTCAGCCTAAACAGATTATTCTTTAGCAAAGATTCATTAAATATATAATTTAATGCTCTTATACTGACAGTCATGCTAGTTTCTTCACCCGTTTTTTTTAGTCTTTCAGCTCTTCTGTAGAAAGAAATCATGGCCCAGATGTGGTTATGCTAAAAAGCTGGGTTACCTAATTTGAATTGCCGTAAATGCCAGAAAAGCTGAGTGCATGAATTGCAGAGACTATTGCATTGCCTAAATTGAATTGGCGTAGATGCAATAAAAGCAATTCTTCCTAAAGCGAATTATTAAAACTCTTATGAAAGCTGAGCCACATAAATTGAAATATAAATAGTTGAAAAGCTGCGTACAATATATTTTTTTCAGCTGTTCTTTTCTTCAGAGTTCGCCCCAGCAAGGTAACTTGCATGACCTATTTAATACCTGATGCAACCTGGGCTCGAACCCGCAACCTCGGGATTATGAGACTGGGGCATCGACTTACCGTGGCCACAGAATGACGTAAAATGGGTTACCACAAGAAACGCTGCATCATATTTTAAGGATTACCATAAATACTAGAAAGGCTGTGCAAGCTAAAATAATTACCATAAGTATGGGGAAAGCTGTGCTCTACATAAATGAATTTAACAATCAGTCAGAGTCCATATAAGATGTCTTTTGAGGACAGAGTGAGACTGAGATCCACCCTTTTGACACCACTTACTCTAACAGAATTGTCTTGATGAAGAATAGTGTAGATATGTTTGTTGGCGGATTTAAACACCTTCCTGATCTATAGCACCCTAGATGAGCAAGTTACAGCAACTTTCTGTGATGCTCCAGAATGCTGGAATATGATTTTTCAGTATCAGCTGAGTTGGCATGTGGCGTTGCCCAACTCCCTTTTTAGTTTGGGATAGAAAAACCGAGCAGCGACAGTCGTACGCCCGGTAACTGGTGGCTGCTTGGCCACCAGCTCTCGTCATTTGTGTTTGATCCGCTCGCTGCGGTCGCCAGGTAACCCGCTTGGCCTCCTCCAGTTACAGCCTGAAGTCACATGCAAGTAGACCTGGATAATCGGAAAGAGAAGCTGTAAGGCGAGAACACAACTAATTACTAGTAAATGAAAAATGAAAAAGCTCCGCTGTGGCAAAGTGGAGAACCTGAGTCAGGCATTTTTCTTGTTTACCTTGCAGATAAAGTCCTAGAAAACTTTTCTTTTGTTGTTGTTGTGGGTTGTTTTTTTAGAAGTTGCTGATTCACAACCAACTTTTGACGAGTGTTTTACTCCAAGCGCATCCTGTCTGCAGAGATAAAAACTCATTGAAGCTTGTGAATTGACTATAAAATGCTGGCTTGGTTGGGGGGGGGGACATAGCATTTTATGAATCTTCTATAAGTGACCCCTATATAATGTGGTGTGTGTTTGTATACTGCCTGATTCCCAGATGCTCGAGCCTTGGTCTCAGAAGTCAATTTATCATCATGCCATGAATGCAAAGAAAAGGAGCTTTGCTTGACAAAAATATGTGTACCTGCAGTGCTGTTTGCACACGTAACGTATATTCAATAGAACAAAGGGGGTTTCTTATTTATTATTATTTTTCAGTCATTTCCAGGACCCAATTACCGGTATCCTACTGTTAATATCTACGTCTGTCCAATTACTCTTTTTGTAACTGTTAGGTAATTGATGGGAGAATATATTAATTTAGGGATGCACAATAATATCGGCATGGTATCGGCTGATATTAGCGTTACAGTTAAATATCAGACATCGGCCATTCCATCAAAATAACTCACCGATATAAAATACACTGTTTTTGTATGACAACCCAGTGACAAGGATGCCTGCAGTGCCAGCATAACATGATGACGTCACACGCACCTACCTGATCTGATCACGGTGAAGAGGAAGAAGTCAAAATGTTGGCGGTGTGGAAGGGTTTTTTTTTTCATTGAGGACGTCGGATTCTGAAGATTTTTGGATTACGTTGAGCCTTGCTACATCGTCCCCAGTCAGATATTTTTCCGACGTAGGCTTACCCGAGTTACAAGCCATCATTTCCGATGTCACTGAGAAGCTAATAGCCGATAGCACTTAGGTGAGTTTTACCACAGACATTTGGACGTCATGTTTGCCCCGTTAGCATGATTAGTCTTACAGCACAATGGATAGACAAAAACTGTCCTTCATGCACAACATTGCAGAGGATCCCAGACTGCAACTAGGAGCCTGGAACAAGCCTCCACAAGTGAGACCGCATCGCAGGTGACTGCTAATAAATAACATTTAACACTTTTCATTTAATATAAGACAAAGTGCTATGCATATCATATGGCTGTTACTGAATATATGTCACCAGCTCTTACAGCTGTTACACAATTTTTGTAGCAAATAAGCCTAAATAAGAGGAATATGTTCTGACAAAGGAAAGTGTATATATAAAAAAAATTGGTATCCATTATCGGCCAAATAAGTTTGAACTTATCGGCATATCGAATGTGGGTCAAAAATCCAATATCGTGCATCCGTATTAATAACCCTTAGGCTTTGGTTAATTATTTCCCTGTTTTATCCCTCAAATTTCCAATCCATGACACCAGTTTGAAAGATTTTTTTCAGCCTGATGTTGCTAATGCTTTCCTAACATGAACCCCAGATGACAAATTAACAAAATTACTTTCCCTTGCCGCTTGACGTAACAGGGAATAGCTCTGTCCGTGCCATTGTGTGTGGGTGGGAGACAGTCCCACCGCAGTCGATCTTACTTTTCAGCAGATCAATCTCATTCCCTACTCCCACTGGATATAACTACTCGGCTGCTCCTGGAATCCTTTGCTAGTAAAAGTAAATCCACCCAAAGGGAGATGTCTAAAGCAAAAATAAATAATTGAGGAATTGGATGGTGAGTGAGAGAACCAATAAATCATAAGGGGAGGAAGAATGTAAAAGAGGAAATGGGACTGTGTAGCAGAGGGAGTGGAAAACTGGGCAAGAGACCTGGTCGATGGGCCTGCTAATGCTGCTAATGTGGCATCACTAATGTGTTAGGCACATTGAGCCAAATTCTCGAAGCCTACCCTGAGTCCTTGAGTTCTTACCTAAAAAGTAGACGTGGCAAGGAGGTGGTGTGGCCTTGACAGACCTCTCTCCAAAATGTATCTCTAATCTGACCCCAAAGCCAAAAAGAATGAAGGGAATTTTCAGTTTGTAAATTCTCCAAGAAGGTCTTGGGCATGGTAGCATTTTCCGAGCACGTTTGTCTATCCGCCGTTGTCATAAAACATTTCTTCTCCTCAGTGGCCTCTTGCTTAAGGGAAGATCAAGCCAGGAGGGGAGTTTCAAGAGGGAAGCGTGTTTGCGGTGGAGTACACAAACACGGCTCTGTTCTCGGCTGGAAGAAACCCACCGCGAGGGTTAGAATTTTCCAAAAATGATTTCAACCGCTGGAAACAGAAACCAGCTGCTGCTGTGGTTCTGGGTCTGCAGCAGTTTCTGGTGGGTGTATCAAAGCTGTGGGTGTGTAACATGACTCTGCACGAGGAGCGATGGGTCAAGTCAGTGGTTCTGTTTAACCCTTAAAGGCTTGTGGGAGTTCACATCAGTGCATTTAGGCCTTGTGTTCCTCTATTCTAAGGCTTTTGATGAGAACCACACCATAACGGTGTCACTGAGCCAAATCCTTGATTTAAACACATGGCTCATGTTTTTATTAAGACTTGGACGCTAACTGATTGGGATTAGTCCACTTTAGACATTTGATATGCTTAGTTTGCTGTCATGCTTCTTACTGTTTGAAGTTTGGTGGATACTTTCAGTTTTATAAAACTGATGCTGAAAATTAGTTTTCACGTGATGATTGAGTTTATCAATGTTTTCATTTAATCTAAGCAATTTAACACAAATTTGACGAGTTTAGACATTTAATTAGTCTTTTTAATGTGTTTGAGTTTCCTTAACCTTGTCATTTGTGACTTTTTTTTTAAGTGATTAAAGTAAATGTGAATTATTGACTGTATTTATTAAAAGCCTTGCATTCCATGAAGGAATGCATATTGTCCGTCTCCCATGTCAATATTTTACATGAAGATCTTGTATTGAAAAAGACTGGAGTAGTAGGTGTTAGGTCATACTTTGAAAATAACCTCACGTACACCCTCTTTCAACATCATGAGTTGTCATGCTCAGAGTATGTGTTGGGGTTGTCTCTCAGCTTTTGCTAAAAAAAACAACAACTTTGTATTAAGTTGACAAGAGTTGCAGCCATTTTTGTGTTGACTAAGGGCAATTGGTTGTAGCAACCATCTTGAATGGGACTGGCTCTGAAAGATCATCAGTTTTAGGGGTTCATCCTTTTATTTTCTTTAAAAAAAAAGAAGTCCATTTGTTCATAAGATATTTTGCTAACACTCCAATAGTTAATGCTAGTTTTTCCAAGCAAAATTTGCACGCAATGGGTAGCGCATGTGCTATGAAAGACTCCACTATAACCACTCCCAAATTTAGTTCAGTATTTGTAAAACTGACTGAACTATAGCTATTTTTGTGTTTTCTAAAGTCCGTTGGCTGTGATGGTCATTTTGAAATGGATTGGTTCTAAATATTCATCAGTTGCAGACGTATAGCCATCGATTATTTCCTGAAAGTTTAAAACAAATTAATCCAATGGTTCTTGAGATTTATTGCTAATGGTCTAATCCAAAGAGTCAGTGAGACAGTTTTGATCAAAGATCTTGAACATCATGTTTACGGTCAGAGTATGTGTTGGAGATGAGTCTCAGCTACTACCGTAACAAATTTTAGATCCACAACTGAAAAAGTGAGTGAACTATTGCAGTCTGTTTACAAAGGCCAATTAGCTGCAGAAGCCATTGTAAATAATAATAATGTTATGTATTGTCATCAGTGTATGTTCCCATACAATGGTGAAATTGGCTCTCTGCGTTTAACCCATCAACCCCAGGTGGAGCAGTGGGCAGCTATTGAAAGCGCCCGGGGAACAATTGGGAATAGGGTGTGCTACTCACAGACACCACGAGATGTGCAATGACTGAGGATCGAACCTGGGACTTAAGGGTCCCGAGTCGGCGGCCCTGCCTCTACCCAGTAAATTTGGTTGACTCCAACCATCCATCCATTATCTTTACCCGCTTATTCCATTTTGGGTCACGGGGGTCGCTGGTGCCCATGTCCAGCAATCACTGTGCGAGGGGCGGGGTACACCCTGGACAGGTCGCAAGTCCATCACAGGGCCACACAGAGACAAACGAGACAAACAACCATTCACTCTCCCACTCACACCTAGGGACAATTTAGAGTTACCAATCAGCCTAACATGCTTGTTTTTGGACTGTGGGAGGAAACCGGAGTACCCGGAGAAAACCCACGCATGCACGGAGAGAACATGCAAACTCCACCCAGAAGGCCCCTGGACCGGGGTTTGAACCAAGGACCTGCTCGCTGAGAGGCAGCAGCTCTACCAGTTGTGCCACCGTGCTGCCCTGACTCCAACCAATGAGTTGACAATGTACATACAATAATCATGTTTTGCTAATTTCTTTAAGATTTTTCCAGTGATTAATAAGACTGTTTGGTATAAAACACACAAGTAAACAATTACAAGCGAAAACAATCGTTTGCTGTCACCGTTCGTCATCAGGCAATAAAGGTGAGCTTCAGCTATGCATCTAAGGTGCTTTTAGAGGAGCGAGCACATTTGCATGTTACATTACTAGCAGTAAGCCTTAGTATTTTTCTTAAAGGAGGCTTCTTGGAGCTAAGGCTTGAGCTCAGAGTACCTGAAGTGGATTTCCATGCCCCATACAGTGGCGAGGCACTGTGTCGGTATGCAAAGTGCCTTTGGCATTGTGAAAATGGCTCTCAGGCAGGCCAAGAGGTCCGACTGTGCCAGCCATGCCTTCTCAAGCACCGCAACCTCCGTCCATGTGGAAGTCCTGCAGGAATTCATAGAGCCTGGTGTTCAGCCTGAAAACACAAAGAACTGGCTTGGACCGTCACCACATACACACACTCCACACTCTTTGGGGACCTACCAACGCCTGAGTGGTGACACATCATTTAAAAACCGTGTCCTCGGGTGGTATTCATCTATTTATAGTGAAAGTGAAGCACCAGAACAATGTACATGTTAACAGGAAACTAGGAATTTGTATAAATATCTTGTGGTCAACAGGGCTGTATTTATAATTAGTTCTGTATTTTTACTGAACAGCACCTGTATGTTGCTGCTTCCTGTCTCAACGGGGTACTGTCATGATTTTTTTTTTTTGTTTTCACACCTACGGGGAAAGTAAAACTAGGGTGGGTGGAGAAGTCTACGCAAGGGCATACAGTTTTTTTTTTTGTCTCCGACAGTGTCACGGGGTGGCCAAAAAAAGATAGTCATGCTTCAACTTCCCCATGTTCAGTTTCCAGAGCTCAGAGAAAAGCTGTGGGTGCTTTATTTGGAGAAAAGCCGGTTTAAAAATGAGTTTGAGGAGTCTTACCCCAGTGGAGACTCTCCTCTGCTGTAATATGAGAAGATTACCAGCAGATGAGGCGATCTAATGTAGTTGATGAAACCATTAGTGCACATGGTAGAAGGAAAAATGTTTTTTGAAGGGCGCTTCCAAGTGCTCAATAACGAAGTAAGGTGGATGATACAGCGGTCTGTGTTGGAAGTCAACATACCTCACACAATACCTCCTCAGGTGACTGCCGCCTCACACCAGAGACGTCTTGCATAGAGCCAGAGCAGTTACCATGACGCTGACGTTTGTGAGCGAAAAGCCTTGGCTCAGTTCTCCTCGAGGCCTCCCATCTCGTCGCCGTCCTCCAGTCTTTTCAACACCGTTCTGATTAACCGAGACCTTACCTCACTGAAACGACACCGTGGTGTTCTGGCTTTCGTAGCACCATCAATAGCAATCTATTTTACTGCTGCTTGTTAGCCAAGAGCCTTCACACCCAGAGCGTGACATTCTTTTGCTGATAAAATTCCAACCACACAGTCCTAAGCAATGAAAGGTTCAGTAACTTTAAGTTATATCACAAAACAGTCATCTGGGCTCAAATTTACTCATGGTTCAAATGTTCCCTAATAGATTTTCTTCTGTCTTTTTCAGGTGCTGGCGAATCTGGAAAAAGCACCATTGTCAAACAGATGAAGTAAGTTCATTTCACTACAAAACATTAAATTATCTTCAAATTAAGCAATCCTTCTCTTTCTCATTGATGTTTTCAATTTGATATACACAGTGACACACCAGGAGAGTATTCATTGTCCACAACACACAGTGTGCCTCTTTGTATTATCGCAGTTTGTGAATGGAGGCGCCATGCAAAATGGGTCATAAAGACAATTCCCAGAATGCATTAACATACGCTCTGCCTATGCATCATCCACAAACCGTGCCCTGCAAATGAATTAGACTTTCATTAGCGTTCTTAGGGATGCGCTCATCGATCATCCACGTGTCAGAAGCATCTAATCTGCCCCGTTAATGCTTTATCTGTTTATTCTTAACTTGTATGGACAGATTTTCTTCGGCATGAATCTTAAATAGACTCCAGCATACGTTGACTGACAGGAAAGTTTTAGGCCGTTGGGCAAATAAACAACGTAAATAAGTTGCAAACGCGTTAAATTTTTCTAAACCACTTCTTGGGGAGTACAAAAAGCACCCATTTGGAGGTGCTTTTGTTTCGATTCAGTTAAAACCAGTAAGCTGAAGGATTGTCTTGAAACGGGGATGCTAAGTGAACTAACAGGTGGAGATAGCATTTGCTATGGGGCTGCTAACTCGCATGCACTCAGCATGAGGCTCAGGCAGTTCACACTTTTTGCAGGAGGTTCATTTTGAGTGAGGAAACATTGTGGCGAAAGCTTCACAAAGTGCATGCACAGACGATGCAGATCAGGCTGCATGCTGAATGGTAAGGACTATGTTCAGTAAAACTGCTTTAATTATGTTAAATGACGTCTAGCACGACGAAATAAAAGTCTCGATGACGTCACTGAGCAAGTTCTGCGCGGTGTTCATTGTCTGGCAATCTGACAGAGGTATACAATATTCATACAATAAAATACAAGTGAAATAAATTGTCGCCTTGTATTCCTGTAGTCCTACCTATTTTTAATACACATCAAACTATAAAAAAAGTGACGGATAACAGGACAAACATTTTATACAAGAAAATAAATGCCACATTTATGGTTAGATTGTTAAATCTCTCATGTTTTATTGCAACTCGTGAATTGCAGCTTGACACCTGTACTATAAATGATAAAATCTCCAGTCTATAAAGTTGCCAAGCAGTACAATAAGCAGTAGACATACTGGCATAAAAACTGAACTTCCTCAAGATTTATTTTTAAACGCATTGATATAACTAACTCTTAAGTCTTCCTTGTGCAGGAAAAGCTTAAACGTTATAAACAAGCTCTTACAAACCTCTTGCTTCATTCACAGATTGAGCAATCGGTTCATCTCTAAATGGGCGTTAGGGATCGTCTGCACAGGACTGCTTTTTTTTTTGTTGTTTTTTTTCCCCAGTAAACTGTTCAGCCTTGTGTCCATAAAGAAACATAGTTTTCAGTGTCTAAACTATTGTTTTTAAAAAGGGTTCCAGATTAATGATGTCATAGCCCCACCCCACCCCAACCTAACCTACGACCCGAGGGCGTTTGCTTCGGCCCGTGTTTACATCTTGCACGCAGTGTGTAGATTTTCTGTGCATGCTCTCCCTGGTTTTGGTGTAGTTTCACGTAGGCCTCTCGCAATAAACAATGAATCGATTGATCGCATGAAAAATGACAATTCTTAACCTCATTTTCATTTATCGGCTTTATCGTTTCTTTGTGTCTCTCTTTCTACTGAAGACACTGGATGATGACAATAATGACTAATTATTGTCAAATTTCAAACAATATTATTGTTTGTCAGAATAATCTCTGAGACAATTACACGCCCAGTGAGATTTGTTATCGTGACAGGCCTAGTTTCAGGTCTGTCTTAGATGATTTTTTTTTTTTGTTTTGTAGACAGACTTTTTCTTCTTAATGGTACCATGGTATGAAATAGTTTGAGAAAACAAATGATTGTTTTAGAAAATATATGTTTTTGTATGGACAAAACCCAAAATAGTCAACGACTAGAGGTTGACCATTATGGGCTTCTTCTTTTTTTTTTTTTTTTGGCAGCTAAAGGTTAATGTACACCAGGGCAATTCAACTAAACTGCTCAGGGGCCGGACATCCAGCAGTTATTGTCATTAAGTAAGTTTAACAGTTTAAAATCTAGTTTTGTTTAAAAATGAACCCATTGGTGGGCCGAACTGAGCTCACCCGTGGGCCTGATTTGGCCCCTGGACCAACAGTTGAATAGCCCTGAGGTACACCATTTAGTTTTTTGGCCTTTATCGATTTCTCATTTAACAAAATATAACAATAACTGCAAAACTTAAACATTTAACAACGCTTAAAAGAACTTGCACACTACTACTACCATTTTTTGATAGCAATAATGATGATGGTAATTATAATAATATATGAAAGCAATATTGCTTAAATAAATTTCAATTGTGGGCTACAATATCTTATTTGAAGCAGCTGGAATTTTTGTTTTCCTACTTGCTGATTAACTATGTGCATGTATTTATTTTAAAGTAGCCACTATCAGCTGATTAATCCTTCTGTATTTGGATAACAAGCCTTACAATGTCATAGCAAAGTCATTGTTGCCATTTAAGAAACTATCAGACCTGAGCTCAACCTCCAGATTGATTTTTCTCACAGAGGTCTCTGTAAAACTGTGACTCAGTATTTTCCTCGCTGCGCCATCATTTTTGTGCCAAACTACTATGAATGTTTGACTGAGCTACGCTGTTCTGTTAGCTCATATACTTGTTCATACTCTGCAGGATCATCCACGAGGCGGGCTACTCGGAAGAGGAGTGTAAGCAGTACAAGGCTGTGGTCTACAGCAACACCATTCAGTCGATCATCGCCATCATCAGAGCCATGGGGCGTCTCAAGATCGACTTTGGTGACTCTGCAAGAGCTGTGAGTGGTTTGGTCTGTTTAGAGTAGAAACGTGACGTATGTTTGAAGTTTTTAATGGAAGAACGGATGTTACAAAGTTAATCGCGCTTTAAAAAAAGTGCTTGCTTTTCTATGGGAATTGGTTTAATATGTTCTCTGCACATGGAAGCTCATTATTGTGGTTGTTTAATCTTTTTCTCTCTTTAAAATGCCTTTGTAATCCTGTAAGTGGCTTCTCAGCTTGATGGCCGTTAAATGCTGAACCTTAATTTGTGATTTTAATGGCCAATACGTGACTGACACGGCCTCGACTCGTCTCCCCAGGACGACGCGCGGCAGCTGTTTGTGCTGGCAGGCTCGGCGGAAGAAGGCTTCATGACGGCCGAGCTGGCTGGTGTCATCAAGCGGCTCTGGAAGGACGGAGGCGTGCAAGCCTGCTTCAGCCGCTCGCGCGAGTATCAGCTCAACGACTCGGCAGCATAGTGAGTCACCCGCCGAGCACACAAACAAGCAGCTCCATAATTGCAAGACTCACTCAAACCGTGAATCACTCGAGATCTCCGTGGTCTTCCACACACCGGGCGATGTCAAATTACTGCCGTCCGAGCGCAAACAAACAAAGTGTTGTTGCGAGCAGCCAAGCTGCCCAAACCTTCAGCTGTGTTCAGGGAAAGGTACAGCTTCGATGTGGACTTTTACACTGTCAATATTTGCCTTCCTCTACTGAGCGGGGGTTTGAAACGCTGTTTAATCTTTGACCTCGCTCTTGAGTAGATTTGCCACATACTTTAAAGGTGGAAAAAGACCACACAAAGAATTTATTTCAACTGACTTTTTTCTTTTTCTGTAGCAGTTAGAACTTTAGCATTGTGTTGTGGGAGAGCCCGCAGCATTAACGATATAATCACTTGTCATTCCTTTTTTTTTTTTTTTTTTTCATGAAAAGACTTGTTTTAGTTCTTACGGAACAAACGCCCTCAATTATGTTGCAGCTTCGAGAGGTGTGCAGTGGTTTTTTTTTTTTTTTTTTTTTTTTTTTTTTTTTTTTTTTTTTACATTTTCCAAATGTGGGGGAGAAAAAAGTCAAAAAGTTCTTGCCGTTTTTAAAAGAGACCGAACCTAAAAGAAAGCAGCTTGAACGGAACTGGTTTGCAGTGAAACTGGAAAGTTTTAGCAAAGGTAAACGTCGTAACGAGTTCCCGATTCGTTCCAGCAGCTGCGTGTTCTCGCACCGGATCGTCAGGTACGTTTTGTTCGTCAGGATGTGGGACAGCTCCCTGGACAGATGGCCTCTAGTTTACAGGCCTCACACTTGGGGAGTTTCCAATGGAGCGCCGTATTGTTGTTGGGAGTGTGGGAGGGACCCACTGGGAGCCCACCAACCACTGAACAAACAAAAGACCAGTGCTTGGATTAAAACTTGGCTCCTGTTTGGCGTAATGTTTACACTTTTAACTGGCAACATATGCACACTGGGATGTTTTTTCTGTCCGTTTCATCTTTTCCTGGTCTTTATTTTGTAACATAAATTATAACATATATTCACGGTTTGTGCAATGGGAATGTTTACATTATTAAACTGTCTACCACCGTTAATTCTCCTGTTTGTTCCTCTTGTTTTTTTTTCTGCGCCCGTCCCTCAGCTACTTGAACGACTTGGACAGGATATCCCAGCCCACCTACATCCCAACTCAGCAGGACGTCCTTAGGACCCGAGTGAAAACCACAGGCATCGTAGAGACACACTTTACCTTCAAAGAACTGCACTTCAAGTGAGATTTTCCTCAGTCTTTTTAAAACAAGCGCCTAATTAGCTTTCTTTAACCCCCCCCCCCCCCTTCTCTTCCTGATTCATACTCGCTCATCAAATTCCCCTTTGAGCACGTATTGCTGTGAGTTGTGACAGTCTGTGAGGGTGTTGCACACATCAGTGATGACTCAGTCCAGACCCTTTTGTTAGCGACACAAACAGGAAGTGGGGGCAGCAGGCTCGATGATGTCACAAAACAGGTAGCTTATTTCAGCATCTCTGTTGCTGGAACAGAAATTCCATTTGACCCACGCAGTTAAGAAGCTTAAAGCTGCAGTCGTGTTATGTAAATCAAACGGGAAACGCCAGCGGTTTGTAGCTAATGGATGTCTGGAGAAGGTTTTTGGTTTAGTTTTAAACGTATTTGCATCAGGACGCCACTCTGGGCCACAAGTCCTGAGTGATCTCCAGAAATCAGATAAAGTTAAATATCTTTCCTCCGAGCGTATTTTTACTACAATGATACAAAAGATGACAATAATAGTCATAAATAGGGTAAAATGTTGTATAATATGAGTTTAATCTATATGTCTTAACTTCAGGCCCTTATCTGTTTGCTCTTTTTTTGCAGTGCTTGTGAAATTCAACCAGGGCTGTGTGGGGATGCAAGTCTTGTTATTGTACGGGTCAGAAGCTAAAACGTTAGGATTCCCATGAAGCAAAACTCTTAAGATATGCAGCACAAGCTATAAATCATCTTTTTTTACCAATATTAAAAAGTGTGTTATAAGGAAAATAAAATCTATAAAAATGCACAATTAAACAGGATAATAACAAACGTCAAAGCAGGAAATGATAGAAAAAACGAAAAAGAAATCGATGTTTTATTAAAAACAGTTTTCTACACTTGAATTGCCGTGTGTTTTTGTGCCGCATGTTTTATTTATTTACACAGAAAAGCTGCACACTCAATGGGATATGTAGATCTTCTGATTTTAGGAAACCTTTTATAGATGACAGATTTAATTATTTAGATTTGTACACAAAATGCCTCCACGTCCCAGATGTTAAAATAGAAATAAAAATGCTTATTTTCTGGTTGATCAAATCGTAAGTTCAGGGATTCAAGGTTCTTTATTTGTTATGCAAATTATTTTTCTTTATTTTGTCAAATACAGTTTGTTGGTCAAATTGCAAATACAGCACAGACTCCATAAGTTTTAAACTATATTCATATTGAAAAACAAAGAAAACAATATAAATGGCGTTTTTGCCGCCCTTTTATTTTTAGTAAAATATAAAATTGTATATGTTCAAAATGAACCAATCACTGAAGAGGAGTTTTGTTTGTTCCACTAGTTTTTTAGGATTGGTTTGGGTGTGCATGTTGGTTTTAGTCGACAGCTGGCAAAGCCAAAAGGTTAATCTCTGCTCGAAGGCAAAGGTCAGAGCGGGCTTGATTTCATCAACAACAAAAGAATTAAAACTTTAGACTGAGTCGAATTTAATTCAGTAAATCGCAATTTGCGACGTTCTCACAAGCCACAAGTCGAGACTTGTGTTGAGGCGGCTGTGGATGAGTGGTTATCGGGTATAGAACATTCAGTGCATATGTTCCGAGAGTTTAATTTAAATGTTCTGTGGTTCATGAGATATCTGAATAATGGAGGCAAACGCAGGCATTTACATATTTGTGTGCCTTTTATGGCAACAGGTAGGCCTGTCGCAATAAACAAATCAATCGCATGCCAAGTGAAAATTATTGACCTCATTTTTATTTATCAACTTTATTGTTTCTTTGTCTCGTTTTCTACTACTAAGCTACGAGCTAAGCTAACGGGCCAACCTCCGTCTTGTCAAAGCTCCAAAATTCAGTTGAAACCCGTGCCTTTGTGTAAAAAGTTTTTCTCTGCAAAAAGAAGTAGGGGTGCACCGATCAGTTTTCTGGTCGATTCCGATTTCTAAAAAGTCTGACCTGCCGATACCGATTTTGTTTTCTAAGCGACACCGTCAAGTGGTATAGGGTCACAATGTACCTTCAATTTTCTAATATTATTTTGTTGAAAAACATACCCTTGAACAATATCCTAGAAACAATACAAACTTATTTTAACTGGCCACGAGCAGTGCTCTGAAATATAAATTACGTTCAGACAATTGTTGTTAAAACTAAAAAATCTGTAAAATCAGTTTCTCATGCAAGTATAGACTGATCGGTGCACCCCTAAAAAGAAGATGAGAACTTGTTTACAGATTTTTTTGTTCGTTTTTAAAAGCTTTGTGTGAAAAATGCTATGCTAAAGCGCTCAAACCACATAGATCGTCCGCCATTTTGAGATGGTGTAGAGGCAGGGCAGCCGGCTTGGGACCCGAAAGTCCCAGGTTCGATCCCCAGTCACTGCACATCACGTGGCGTCTCTGGGCAGCACGTCTCATCCCCAAAATGTCCCCCGGGCGCTTTCAATAGCTGCCCACTGCACCACCTGGTGGTGGATGGGTTAAATGCAGAGACTAATTTCGCCATTGTATGGAAACATACAGTGCTGACATTGTGATGACATTATTATTATTATTATTATTTTGAGAACCGAAGAGAGACGGCCCATGTCGCATCAAGGGGCCTCCCTCCCCATTTTTCTTATACACTGCTCACTCCCTTACTAACCATCCTTCAGTTCAGTCTTATACTGCCATCCGGTGGTTGATAAAAGGTACTACATGCAAAACAAACATTTGACAATAATTACTAATTATTGTCAAATTTCAAACAATATTATCGTTTATCGCAATAATTTCTGAGACAATTAATCGCCCAGCAAAATGTGTTAATCGTGACAGGCCTAGCGACAGGCTATTATAAAAAGCGGGTGTAGTTTGAAATCTTGCCATGAAGAACATAAGTGCTGCTAGAAAAGTATTTGGCTTTGAAAACATCTGAAATAACTTTTTTCTATAAAAAGCTTCTTTCTGTTCGCCCTCCTGCAGCATTGACTTCCAGACACATTTGTTGTCTAAACACCGACTGTATTGTGTGCACACAAGCGGAGGAACACTCACCTGTGCTTTTCTTTGCCACCAGGATGTTTGATGTCGGCGGGCAGCGGTCTGAGCGCAAGAAGTGGATCCACTGCTTTGAGGGTGTGACCGCAATCATCTTCTGCGTGGCCTTGAGTGATTACGACCTGGTGCTCGCCGAGGACGAAGAGATGGTGAGTGTTTCCACCGTGTGACTCGTGAAAAATAACGGGACATTGGGCTCTTTTATGTTCAAGAATAGTAAAGGAGGCAAAATGTATACGTTTATCCTCTTGAGGTTTTGTTTACTGATCAGCGAGCAGAGCGCCATAATCACCGTCTCCTTTTCTTTGTCCACCGCCCTCAGAATCGAATGCACGAGAGCATGAAGCTGTTCGACAGCATCTGCAACAACAAGTGGTTCACAGACACCTCCATCATCCTCTTCCTCAACAAGAAGGACCTGTTTGAGGAGAAGATCAAGAGGAGCCCTCTCACTATCTGCTACCCAGAATACGGTGGTAAGACGTGCACTTTTATTTCATGTGTGTTGGAGCCAATGCTCAGCTACTACCACAGCAAATTTTAAGATTGTCTGACTCTCAATAGGCTGTGGCGGCCATATTGAATTAAACTGACCCAAAAGTTAGTCACAGATGCGCATTCTATGACTTTCGCCGTGCTTTCTAAAAACTCAACTGATGGTTTGATATATTTTGCTAACATTCAAGGTAGACTTGTAACAGTTGAGGCTAAAGGTTTTGCTCAATGAGTAGCATTTAAAGGATGTGTTGTAAATAACTCTCGGCTACAGCCATGACAGATTTTTGGTCAATATCTGCAATAGTGACAGAAATCAAACCATTTCAATGTTTTCTCACAGAAATTGGCTGTGGTGACCATTTTGAATTGGATTGGTTCCAAAAGTTCACTTTTTTTTTTTTTCAATTAAATTCAAACACATTTGCATCAATATCCAGATGTTCCAAACATCAAACAAACTTAGCATTATTGGGTTTTTGTTTTTTTTTGGTTTTATGCGTCCAAACTACAACAGTTCAATGGTCATTTGCAAGTAGTTTTTGAAATAACGTATTCTGTTCTTGGTGTTATTTCGCGTTCAACTTGTTTGCTCGACTACAAACTTGGATATGGAATGATACAAAAGCAGAACATGACTTAAAACTGTGCTCCAGTAATAAGTAGCAGCATGAGGATGTAGCCCAGCCATATTTCAGACGGTCATTTCCTCTGAACATACAATAGTTCTTAATGTCTTTTCCTATGCGGCGCGTTCCTGATTACCCAACATCCTCCTCTCTCGTCGTTCCCAGGCTTCAACACATACGAGGAAGCAGCTGCCTACATCCAGTGTCAGTTCGAGGACCTGAACAAGAGAAAGGACACCAAGGAGATTTACACCCACTTCACCTGCGCCACAGATACCAAGAATGTGCAGTTTGTCTTCGACGCTGTCACTGATGTCATCATCAAGAACAACCTGAAAGACTGCGGTCTTTTCTGAAGATCCCGTCGTTAAAATCGACCTGTTGGTAAGAAAATCCACTCAACTTCACGCTTTAACACATTTATTTTTTTTTGCACAGTTTAGATGCATGTATAGGAATTGTGCCAGGATCAGTGTGAACAAAACCTAAATTATACCAGCTTCTTCATCTACTCTATTGTTTTGTTCTCCTCAGGTAGTGAACCAGCTCTTTGTGCATCCTCGATGGGGAAGAGAAGAGTTGTGAGGATCCATGATGGACCAGTGCTGTACTATACGACACTTTTAACAGCTTTATTTATGGTTTTTTTTTATTATTATTATTTTGTCTGGGAACATTTTGAACTAGCGTTACGTCATCTGTGTAGGCTTTGTGTCACTGCAAAAGCATCAACATACTTTCCTTTTTTTTATTAATCTTTTTGTTTATAAGGAGTAGGAGACTACAATGTTTTTGCTGTTTCTTCTACTGCCATTTCTGGAAAAGGAGACTTTGCAGTTGGTGGGGAATCCGCCTTTTTCTTTCTTTCCTACAACACAAAGGGAAGAAATGAGGAACAACTCTTGAGTCCAGTTTGTTGGTACCCGTGCCTTCGCATGCCTTTTACTGCGGTTGTCCTGATGCTTGTTCTGTTGCCTGCTGACGTGTTCTATACATAAAGAGGTAAACGTTTCCATATGTTAGTGTCTCGGCTATCTTCTATGTGCACACCACTGAGTTATCAGGAAGAGGAACATTGTGCTCTGTAGGTTCATGGGTCTCTGTGGTGACCAACATGTAGCCTCCACAGTCTCCTAACCAAGCCCACCCCAACCACCTGCCATGATAATGGAGGGCCTTTGCTGGTTGATTTCACAGTACAATTCTGAAATGTATATTGTTACATTTACCCCATAGATATTGGGGTTCTTGTTTTTTTTTTTTTGTTTTTTTTTTGTGAATAAAGATAACTCTTCTATTCATTCATAAAGCAGTTAGTCGAGGCACTGAGCTTCTAATATACTCAAGTATTTCAAGTACAGAGACCAGATTTGGCACATTTTATTGTATATTGTGATGTATTTGGAGAAGAGGTTTTAAAGTTTTTAGTTTTAAAAAGGAAAAACAATAATTGAGGGGGGATGTTTTTTTTTGTTTTGTTTTTTTTAAACAGGCCAGATCTTGGTTAATTTTTTTTAGAGTAGAGTACCTACGTAAACATTGACCAAGCTTTTGCTTGATAAAATATAAGTTAGTCAAGATATTCTGGTCTGTAGGTCGGTTGTAATTTATCAAACGGAGTGATGATGCGGTCCAGGATCTATTCATGTAAAGAAACTGCCACTGTCAGTGTATGTGTATGTTCTCCGTGTAAGGAGAATCTTTGTAGACTCATCTCCCTTATTTTGCTAATAAAAATCGTTGACCAACCAGAGTTGCTGTATCATTATGAACATTGTGTTTGACAACTAAGTTGAGTTATCGAGCAGGTATGCGCTAAACCCATACACCTTTCGTCCAGATGCCACGCTTCCATCGCATGCGCTTCAGAAGAATAAATGGCTTTGTAAAAGACGAACCTCTTTAAATGCGCGTGTCGTTTTGTCGTGTACATCGGTGAGGGATCATATTTTGTGTGCCAACTTGTAAATGTAGAGTTGATGTAGATTTTTTTTTTGTTTATAAACAAAATATAAAACTACAAGCTAGGATTCGCTGTGGTCACAAAGTGGGAGGTCAAAGGCAACTGGAAAGCCTGTTCCACACCATAAAATTATGCAGGTGCATCAATATCGTGGAAAAATTAATCATTTCAGAAAGTGAACAGCTAGCTTTTGGTAATGTCTGTGTGGACAGTTGCCATGTCCTGCCGGAAAATGAAATCGGCATCTCCATAAATCTTGTCAGCAGAAGGAGGCATGAAGTTCTCTAAATGCCTTTTCATTGGCGTCACGTGGTGCATGAGGTGGAAAGAAGTTGTGTACACGGTCCCAGTTACATCCAACAATGGCAAAAATATAAAGTGTAAAAAACTAAACGATCTAAAATGTACGCCAAACGGTACGTGTAAATCTAAGATACACGCTAAACACTAATGTAAAACTACACCAAACAGCAGCACGAACATGTGTCTTTGTGGATGGATGAGTACGAATGAATGCATGTCCTGGTAGATGCTGAGTTGACTTGAGAAAACTCAGTGGTCCAGCACCAGCAGAGGACATGGCACCCTAAACCATCACTGACTGGAAACTTCTATTCTGGACCTCTCCACTCTTCCTCCAGACTCTGGGACCTTAATTTCCAAATGACGTGAAAATGTACTTTCTTCTGAAAAGAGGACCACTGAGCTACAGTCCAGTTCTTTTTTCCTCAGTCGTGACGACTGGTTCAGGAGTGACTTGAGGAATGCGACATTTGTAGCTCAGGTCTAGGACTTTATTAGCTGATTAGGGTGTGACACCATGAGTTTCCAATACGGGTCCTCTTTGCAATATTCTACTTTTCTGACCCTGAATTTAGTTTTTTCATTGTGAGCCATAATCGTCAAAATTACATCAAATAAAGGCTTGAAATATTTCACTCTTTGTAATGAATCTATATACGAGTTTCACTTTCTGAAATTCATGACAAAATTGTATCTTTTTTGTGAAAGCCTATTCTAATATTTTTTTATGTGCCTGTATGCATCTGCTTCACATTGAAAAGATTCCATTAACCGCTGTGGTTCGTAATAGAAAAGCTTGCTGGGATGAAACTGGATGGCATCTCAACACATGAATTCATTAAATGGTTTTCTGTTTACTGCTGGGGGAAAAGTCTAACCAACTGATTTTCCTACTTGCTTAAGATGTAAAGCAGCCAGGATGCCCTTTGGTGCATCTTTGCCTTGTAAATGTGCCGTGCCATTGTCCGTGAATAGAGTAAGTGACGGCATCCCTTCTTCACAATATTGCTTCAGATGGGGAATTTGCATGCTGTTATGTAACACAAAATTGAATAATTAGTCAGTAAAATAGAAATATTGCATGATAATGACTGCTACATTTTCAGTGAATGGTTCTTTGTGTTGGAAACAACCAGTGAACGCATTCCAAGAGTTTGGCCACCAGAGGCTCCATGTTCTTTCCTCTCGCTGCTAAAAACTTGATAAAAGTGGCCACTTTTTTTATTTATTGTCAATAAAGTCATTATTTTCAGTTAATCAAAGCAATTATATAGAGAATTCTATATAGAAGGGACTTGACGTCATACCTTAAAGGCCCCACACACAATGATACCAGAAGTAACATATGTCTCTCCACAGTGCTGGCAATGTTGCCCTCAGTCTTTTACAGTAGCTGAGCATTACTCCTTGGGTCCTGGTTACAGAACTATTCAAATATCAGCCCTCTCTTCTGGCGATAAGAGCTCACTTGGGACAGTGAACTTATCCTAGTCCAGCAGATACCAGTTGTCCAGACTCGTTGGATTCCGAAGAGTCCGAAAAATTGTGTCCAGATGGCAGGTACAGATGCTGTTTTCTAATGTTTGGCATACAATAAGACAATTGTCTCTTGGTGTGGCCATATTGGCTAACTGGAAACTTCATGATGTGTATGGGTGCACACATTCACCCAATAGTTCCAACAATGGGCCACAGCTGTCACATCTGTACCCTCCACAATCCTGGCCAATGCGCAATCCGACTTCTTGGCTTCATGCAAACTTACATTGTGATCCCTATCAAGCAGCCCAGTGTTGTGAATGTTTCTATACGTCACTGGATTTGGTCAACTTTATTTTGTTTGACTGTCAGACTTTCTGGCAACTGCTTTGCAACATTGTGACTGACCTCGTGATGTCACTATTATATATCTGCTGGCTGTTGCAGACACGCCAGCAATATACAAACCAAGTCATTTACAAACTCATTGCTGTACTGAGTCATTCATTGTCCCCTTTGTTTACTTATATTGAACACTAATCAGTCCTGATGTTGCATCACAAATCTGCTTTGGTGCAAAAGAAAAAAGGTTTTGATCAAGGAAACAGATTTTGGATGTGATTTTGCCAAAGCGCCTGTGTTCTGGGAGCGAAAACAACGGGATACCTTCTAATGTTATTGCTGAAGCTGTATGGTCACAAATTCAAACACAGAACTTACATAATCCTTTTCCAAAGTATGGTTTATTGTAGCTTACCAGTGTTTGTTTATGAATATAATATATTTAAAAATTAAAACACTAAATGCAACAGGTGGAGACCTAAGTGAGAGAACTGAGTGAACACTATTACAATATCTACTAACATATAACTACGGTTGCAGCAGTAGAGCTTGTCAACATACAGGTGCTGGTCATAAAATTAGAATATCATGAAAAAGTTGATTTATTTCAGTAATTCCATTCAAAAAGTGAAACTTTTATATTATATTCATTCATTTCACACAGACTGATATATTTCAAATGTTTATTTATTTTAATGATGATGATTATAACTGACAACTAATAAAAAAAAACATTCAATATCTCAAAAACTAGAATATTACTTAAGACCAATAAAAATAAAAAAAATAAAGATTTTTAGAATTGTTGGCCAACTGAAAATATGAACATGAAAAGTATGAGCATGTACATCACTCAGTATTTAGTTGGGGCTCCTTTTACCTGGATTACTGCAGCAATGCGGCGTGGCATGGAGTCGATCAGTCTGTGACACTGCTCAGGAGTTATGAGAGCCCAAGTTGCTCTGATAGTGGCCTCAGCTCTTCTGAATTGTTGGCTCTGGTGTATCACATCTTCCTCTTCACAATCCCCTATAGATTTTCTATGCAGTTAAGGTCAGGCGAGTTTGCTGGCCAATTAAGAACAGGGATACCATGATCCTTAAACCAGGTTCTGGTAGCTTTGGCACTGTGTGCAGGTGCCAAGTCCTGTTGGAAAATGAAATCTGCATCTCCATAAAGTTGGTCAGCAGCAGGAAGCATGAAGTGCTCTAAAACTTCCTGGTAGACAGCTGCGTTGACCTTGGACTTCAGAAAACACAGTGGACCATCACCAGCAGATGACATGGCACCCCAAACCATCAATGACTGTGGAAACTTGAGACTGGACCTCAAGCAACATGGATTCTGTGCCTCTCCTCTCTTCCTCCAGACTCTAGGACCTTGATTTACAAAGGAAATGCAAAATTTGCTTTCATCAGAGAACATAGCTTTGGACCATTCAGCAGCAGTCCAGTCCTTTTTGTTTTTAGCCCAGGTGAGACACTTCTGACGGTGTCTCTTGTTCAAGAGTGACTTAACACAAGGAATGCGACAGCTGACCCTCTTGTCTTGCATACGTCCGTGCGTGGTGGTTCTTGAAGCACTGACTCACTCTTTGGGAATCTCCCACACAGTTTGGAATGGGTTTTATTTGGCAATCCTCTCCAGGTTGCAGTTATCCCTTTTGCTTGTGCACCTTTTTTCTACCACATTGTTTCCTTCCCTTCGCCTCTTTATTGATGTGCTTGGACACAGAGCTCTGTGAACAGCCAGCCTCTTTAGCAATGACCTTTTGTATCTTGCCCTCTTTGTGCAAGGTGTCAATGGTTGTTTTTTGGACAACTGTCAAGTCAACAGTCTTCCCCACGATTGTGTAGCCTACAGAAATAGACTGAGACCATTTAAAGGCCTTTGCAAGTGTTTTGAGTTAAATAGCTGATTAGAGTGTGACACCAGGGGACTTCAACCTTTTCACAATATTCTA